AACAATTGTTAAATGTAATTTTGTATTAGATAGTTAGTGCTTTTAGAATTTACTTTATGATTTTAGTTATACTTTAATAATATTTAGAATTGGATTTACCTTATGGTTTCAATTATACTTTAATAATATTTAGAACTGGTTTTATTAAATAGAGCATATGTTATATATTATGAACCAACAAATTACATTTATCTCCATTTAACTGTGAATTGTTTTTTTTTCGTTTTCGTAAATTCATATGTTCATATTTATCTCCAACTAACCATGAAGTGTTTTTTTTACATAAATGCATGTGTACATGTACAAAATGCATATGTGCATATATTTATTTTGCAAGTGCATATATTTGAAAATTGTATCACAGATTCACAGTCTTACTTCAGTTTTGTAAATCTATGTATACATTTGAAAACCATGAGCTTCATTTTTTTAAATATCTTTTAATGTTTTATTTGGGTTTTGTTGGTTAAAAACTTAGGATGTATTTGAAGATTATGAGAGCAAGAGGTACAAGAAGCTGATCACACCCATTAATGCCCAATGAAGCAAAGCAGTACAACCAATATTGAAATCTTCCCATTCACATATTCTTTAAGAATACAACAACATTCTTGAAGAATAAAATGTATAAAGGTGGACTTCTAGATCAAGCATGTACAGAACAAAAATGTTTAATGTATTTGTATTTTTTTTCATATATTATTCCTAGAGCATGTCTTTTATTATTTCAAGAATATTAAATAATTCTTCAAAAATGTAAGTTATGAATTTATAATTTATGTCTTATTCTTCAAGAATTTCATTTATACACTTATAATCCTTGTTTTATTTATTCTTATAGAATGTTTATTTATTTCAAGAATGTTGTTTTTTTTTATTAGACCACAAATAATCTATATTCTTCAAAAATGCTCTCTATACTAGAAATGTATTATTATTGTAATTCTGCAAGAATATTTGATTATTTGTTAATTCAAACCAATTATTAATCTTTATTCCCTTAAAAAAAATCAATTTAAAGTTTAGGATATAACACCACATTCTTCAAAAACGCTTTTTGCAGTTGAAATTGATTAAAAATCAGGTAAAAAGTAAAACGAATTCATGACAAAATAATGGTCAAAAAAGATCCTTAAAATCCACCCTTACCTGATTTGCTTTAAACTAAAATGTCCTAATCACCCTTCTTGGGAATTCAATAAAAAAATGTAATTAATTTTTTTCCATTTAATTATCATTATGCCATTGTTGATTATAACCATCCATTCTTTTAATCTAATGGTGAAAATTTGGTCATACATTCATACAATACTTTTGATTGATATTTGATCCTAACCATATATATATATATATATATATATATATATATATATATATATATATATATATATATATATATAGAGAGAGAGAGAGAGAGAGAGAGAGAGAGAGAGAAAGAAAGAAAAGCTCAATAGAGAACCATAATTATTGGTTCTTTTAATAAACCAATTTTTTCCCATGTTCTAAAGCTTATTATTAACTGAGAAAAAAAAAACAAAAAATATCTAAATTCATAAAATAACATCTTGAATGTTAAATATATTTTTCGGATTCACCATGTGAATTTAGATTCACATTGTGAATTTGACAAAATTTTCTTTTTTTTCAAATTTGATATCATCGGAAAAGGATAAAAAGTTATGAATTTCAATATTTTTAGTTTTTTTTTTTTTTTTTTTTTTTTTTTTTTTTTTTTTTTTTTTTTTTTGATAAAAAATAAGTTCTAAATGTTGAAAAAAGGATTAGTTCATGGTTCTCTGTTGAACCTCATCATATATATAAAATATATATATATATATATATATATATATATATATATATATATATATATATAACCAATAATAAATATTCAATGGATAAAACCAATTAAATATAATATCCAATTTGGTCAATCCGATTGAACAAACAAATAAATTAAGATCGGTTTACAATATGCAATATCCGAAGGGTAATTAAATCAGTTTTATAAAAATCATTTGATATCTAATGATGACGTCTATAAAAAGGGGTTGACTAAAAAGAGTCCATATTATACCATATAGACACGCTAATTTAATTATGAAATATTTTTATTAGTTGAAATTGCTATAACCTCTCATAGCACATTTTCCTAAATAATCATTATTTTTGCACTATATATCAATTTCACAAAATAATAGGTTTTCAATTAAATTATAAAATGTAATTCAAACATATTTTTTGTGAAATAAATGATTATATGTGATACTTGTCAAACTATACATCATCCATTTTATCACTCTATGTGATTATGTGTACATTTAATAACGTCGCGATATCGATGGTTACCGGTTTGCAAACAAGTAAATATAGCGGTTAAAAAAAATTGTGCTGATATTTACTGTAATTTCACCGTTATTTTGGTTGCCTTTTAAAAAAAAGTTGAATGTTGATCGTGGATTTGTGGGTTTATAAAAAGAATCCATTGGTCCTTTCTTCTGGGTCAGCCCTTGACTATGCTATGAGTTTATTTATTTATTTATTTATTTATTATTATTATTATTATTATTATTATTATTATTATTATATTTTTATGTGATGTAACATCCTAACCTAAGCACACAGCCAGACACCGTTCCAACGTTTATTTTTTCTTGCGACTTCCCTCCTGTTTTGCTCTGATTGACAAATTTCCACCGCCAAATTAAGCGAGAGATTTCTTGTTCTTGACCTCCGACCTGGTAAGCAACATCTTTTTCCCTTAATGGTTTTTGACTTCTGGTTCTCTACTTCTGCAATTATCCTCGATTGCTACAATGCTACTAATTAAGTGATTAGTGATTACTTGATTAGATTAGTTGAGTTCTTTATTTCGAATTTGATAGTAATTATATGACTCATGGTTCTTTAGTTTTGACTTTGATAGCTTTTTTTATTTGACTTCTGTTTGTTTATGATGTTTGGAACTTCATTAATGAAATTTCTCTAACTTCATTAGTTTATTAATCATTACTAGAACTTCATTAACTTAATAACTCATTTTGCAACTTCTTTACTGCCTACTGGACCCGTGTCTATAGACTATAGTTAAGATATGTTTATATATTGACAAAATTGCAAATTTGGTCCCTGTAGTATGTCAAAACTAGCGCGTTTGGTCCAAAATGGGGTTTGGCTTGCAAGGATGGTCCAATAGTTTCATTTTGTTGAAAGTTTAGTCCAATGGCTTAACAACCGTTACCAAGCTCCCATTACTTTACCCATGGGCCTTTCACTTAAGGGTATTTTAGTCCATTCATCCCTGTAACTGTTCCCGTTACTTCTTCAAAACTGTTCCTCTTTTCCTGTCCTGATCAGAATCCTCATCCAGGTATCCCTTGTAGACATGTGATTTTTGTGTTGTATAAAAAAGCAGATCATGGTGAGTGTGTAAAAGAGCTCCATACTTATGTCCACAAGGTGCACTCGCTACAAACTTGGAAAACTGCATATGGGTACAAGGTGGAACCAATTAAAGGTCGGGCACTATAGCCTAGAAGTGAGTATCCAATGCAGATCACACCTCCCCCACTCCGTAATCAACCTGGGAGACCTAAAAGGAAGAGAAGGCAGTTCATGGCGGAGAGAAGTCAAAGCAAGAGTCAGAGTCAGAGTCAAAGTTCAGATGCTGGTCCCAGTGAGATTCATGGTCATGGCTCACATGGTAGTGGGAAACTAACAAGAAAATTTGTTAATGTGACATGTAGTAAGTGTGGAAACAAAGATCACAACTCCAGGATATACAAAGGTCAGGGAGGGACTTGATGGACTATGTTGATTTTATCTTTTGGTTTCACTATGTTGAACAACTTTGTTTTGATTCCTAGATGTAAGATGTCTTTTATTGCAATAACTTTGTTTTCAATTAACTTATGACATGTATTTTGAAGATGGTAATAGGTATTATATGTTTAGTATGCTTTTCTACTAACTACATATGAATGCATGCTATAGTATCTTTAGCAGGTTATGTACGAACAACTGTAACAAATCCATAATTGGTCAATAGATACCAAATTTTCATTACCATTAATTTGCATTACAACAATGTTCTACATTTGCAAAAAAAACTAGCTAAACCGGACACATATACCCCTAACCTATTACAAAAGATAACCATAACATTTGTGAACTTACAACAACACCAACACACAAAAAAAAAAAAAAAAATCCAGCTATAGACTAGGTAATACTTCAACATAGTTGCTTGTTCTTTGATCTTCACCACTTCTTTTTCATGCTTACTTGCTTGATCTTTTATATCATCCACTGTTTTTCGTAGCTTATTGATTGTCCTAAGCAGTCCTGGTATTATAACTTTGGAACGAGCACACATGGGTTCATCATACCACCCAATAAATCCACATGACGAATTCTTGAAAAAAAAGAAGAAAGAAACATTAGATTATTAGGGAGCAGTCGTCAAAAACAAACTGTAACATACTTACCGGGTCAGGAGATCTCCCAAAATCGGCGCCCTAGGTTGTTATCTGTCCACAATGTCCGAACTATCGCCCACTTTCTGCAGAAGCACATCACCATTGTCGACGGAGAAGATGAAATCACAGAGGGGGGCGATTGATGGAGAAGATGAAATCACAGAGGGAGTGATCGTTAGGGCTTGTTGCTGGAGACCAGAATAAAGACGTTGAAGTTTCTTTATGGACTAAATAATAATAAACTAATAAAGGGGTTAGATGAATGAACTAAAATGCCCTTAAGTGAGAGGGGCATGGGTAAAATAACGGGAGCTTGGTAACGGTTGTTAAGCCATTGGATTAAACTTGTAATAAAATGAAACTATTAGACCATTCTTGCAAACCAAACCCATTTTAGACCAAACGTGTTAATTTTGACGTACCACAGGATCAAATTTGCAATTTTTTCTTATATATTTACATTTTTACCACAAAAACAATTATAAATCAAGGGAATATTCATCAGTTTTGGTTATCTTCGAGTTACTTAAAATCAAACTAAAAATAGTAAACTCTTGGCCACCATTTAGTACACCAACTAAGGGATGGCTGAAGAATCTACACCCAGTTAGATGCTCAAATGGTGAACAAAGCATGGCGGATCATACCAAGACCAATCATGGAAACCGTTCTCAACAATCACGCTCACCGCCACCGCGTCCATCAACCACTCATTCTCCACGGTCCCCGTGGTGTCGGCAAGACCACCCTCATCCTTGAACGTAATAATCCGTATGAATTTTGATTTGACAATTGACATGTTCAATTGCTCATTGTGGTTATCCATGAATTTTGTTTAATTACAATACAGGGCATCTCGAGAACTGGAACAAGGGGCCTCATGCCACTGGTTACATTGACTTCGCACAATCAATTGAAGAGAACCACCCACACCATGGTCATTCGTTTCCATGGGCATCTTGGTCGAATTGCAAACCACCATCTCTCCCCACCCTCCGGACCCAACTAGAGCAGTGTCTGGAGTCCATGGCTGAAAAGGGTGTTCAACTCGGTACCATAAGCTCCCACCAGATTTGCAAAACTCTTGGAAAATGGCATAACCTGGATACATCTCTCAAAAAAATTATTCAAACTAAGAACAAAACAACCACCTCCAAGAAGGCTTTGTCCAATAAAGTTTCAACATTATCATTGTGGGACAAGGCTGTATGCACGCTAACTGCTCGACTAAATGCCACAGAGATCGATGAGATGTTGGGGTTAAAAGAGAAGGGTTTAAACGTGAGTCTCCAAGAGACTTCTTATTATAGGGAAGGGATAGTTGCTCTGAAACTCGCTAAGGAAGTGATCAGGGTTCAACAAGGGTTTAGGGCTAACGCTGTTAAGCATTTGAATAGAACTGGTGGGTTTTCAAGAACTTTGGCTAATTCAGCTACTGATTGGCCCTATTTGTTGCTTGAGTTGTTGTCTGGAGCTGCTCAATCTGACTACTTTCAGGTACATGTAAACAATCATTCAGTTTTTGATCCACAAAAAATAATCATGCCACAATGTGTAATTTCCCTGTTTTTTTTGCCATTTTGTTGTGACTTGTGGAGCAGCCAAAGTTGGTAATAAACAACATCGAAGTCTTGAAAATTGCTGCTTTGGTGGATGATTCATCAGTCTCTGGATCCATGTATCATGACAGTTTGATATGGAGAATAATAGCTTTAGGTGCAAATGAGATGTGTTTGCCTATCATTCTCATAACATCTGATAGGTAATATTACATCCATTTATTCTTTTTGGCTAAAATAACTTAAATCATACACAATGTTGAACATCCTTATTTGGACACCTATCTTTTTCCCCAAAAGTTCAAATTCACAATAAATTTGCAGCTATTATTCGTATGGAGCTTATATGGATTTTGGGTTTCCTGACATTTTCATTTCCCGTGAGGTAACCTAATCCCTGTTTGATATCATGTTTCTTTTTTCTAATTATGAAATCTTGAAGCATATTATAAAACTTAAAAGATTGTTACTTTTTCGCTTTTCATTCAATATAAAAGACATTTGGATGGACTCCACAACAAGCCAAAGTACATATGGTTCCAGATTACTTTAGCCAATCAGAGGTGAGTTCATATTGATATTTTTTTTTGACAAATTTCTATGCTATAAATATATAAAACTTTGGTTATGGATGCATTTAAAATCTGAACTTACACATTTTGTTTGTTTAATATCTAGTGGGATTTAATTGTTGAGGTGCTTGGGCCAAATCCATGTCATCTGTTTGAGATATATGCTCTAAAACAGAGCAATTACTACCAATCGTAAGTAATATATACAGTATTTGAATTTTCTTATTTTGTTATGTGATACTCATGGCAATTGACATGCAGGCTCATGGATGATAAAGAAAATACATTCGAGGACATTATAGATGCGTATATAGCATATTTGCAAGTAAGTTTTATGCTTCAGAAATTCATAGATACAAAATGATCCATATCAGTTTCTTGTTTATCTGATTTTTTTAGGAAATTGTGTCAATTCTTGTCCCCATTTACAGGTTACTGTTGTCAATCCTGCAATGGATAGAGCACTATCAATCTTGCAAAAGTTTGCTCTTGATGCTCAAAAGGGCAAAATTGTAAAAGATAAATTACGATTTGGTGCCCCTTGGAAGCACCCACCATGTAAGGATGATCCTTGCCTGCGTTCTGAATGGGCAAAGCTTCAACTAATGGATTTTATCCAATGTTTAGTCAGTGCCGAGTTTGGGGTATGTTTGTCTTTTTCTTGTTTTAGTTATTCTGGTTGTGAAGAATACACAAATATATCAAGAAATTTACCAAAAAACTATGGTTCTAAGAAACCATATAAGGTAGCCTGTGAACTAGTATCTTCAATCTAAATTGTTGTGGTTCATTTTCACACTGGCAAATTGCAGGAAATAGCAACATACTTTACTTGTTTTCCTAATATAGGCAATGTACTTTCTATTTACCCATAATAGCAATGTACTTGCATTTATATTTCCAGTTTTAGCAGCATAGTTACATTTTTTTTTACATATAATAGACATATGTAACCCTAATAGCATCACATTTTACATTTTCTACACATAATAGCAGCATGCTTCCAATTCGTTATCCATAATAACAACATACTTACATTTGTTTAACAATAACAGCAATATGTAACAAATAAAGTACATTACCCATATGAGTAACAAGAGTAAAGTATGTTGCTATTACCTGCAATTTACTCTATTTACAACTTGTTAAAACTAAAAGGATGCATGTTTCTGTTTGCTTTATATGATTCGAGATTCTCTATATATTTTAATTCATTACACTAAATATTTCCAGATTAATTATTTTGCGGATTGTAGCCTTGAGATCTTTGATGATCCTTCCGTTAATGCAATGATGGAGGTTCTTTTCATATTCCAACAATTTTCTTTCACAACTTGATCCCTAATATCTGATATATTTAGTATTTACCCTTTTGAAAGTTAAAAGATGTCAATACTTTGGAAATTTCCCAGGTTGGTTTACTGTATGTGCAGCGTGATCCATCTTTCTTTCGCCCAATATCTCGGGCTATTCAGAGATGTCTTGTGAGATGGTGAGGGCATTTACGTCTTTTACACAAGCAAGAATTTTCGGTATGCTAATGTTGCTTATATCTATCTCTCAGGCTTGTTCAGGAGAGAATTCACATGAGCTTTAAAAATTCACTGCTTTTTCGGTGGCATCGGGTTTTAAGAGGACGTAGCTATCGTCATCTCATGTTGCAAGTCGGCAATAAATAGAATTCAAGGTGTGGGTCCCACCTTTTATTTCCTTCAACATCCAAGTAAACCACTTACAGTTACTTCTTATTTTCTCAATATATAAAATAATGGTGGACTGTTTTCAGTTTATGCAGAAAAATGCTGATTCTTTTAGTGGTATTGGTGCCTCAAAAACTAACAGTAAGTGGTGGTTGAGGCTGCATAAATGAAGAAAATTTGGATAAATAAAAAACTCCAATGTAGTAGTTGTGGCTGAAAACATAAGTAAAAAAATTCAAAAAAATAAAAATAAATCCAGCATTCATCCAGACAACACAAAATAGGGAAAACAAAGAATAGAAAACTTGAATCGGTCACTATTTGCTCCATGCATTTTAGCACTTATGCTTTCATTTAACATCTTGCTGTATTTCCACGTTGTCAGTATTCCATTAACAGTTGCTTGCAGAAGCTTTAATGTGAACATCAACAAAGGAACTGAAATCATGTAAGATACCATTTTTGATATGAAGTTTTATGATACAATAATATCTTATCATAGTTATAGATGTTCTATTCCTCTCTTTTTGCAGCTTTTGTACATCCAAATTGGCTGGTGATGGAACATACAAAAACTGTTAAGTCCTTCATTAAGTCCTACAATATGAAGATAAAACAGATGGGCTATACCTTTAAAGATTCGGGTGTGAAACCTGATTTTTTGAAAGATGTTACAAATAGTTGACTTAATTTTTCTGAGGTTATGGAGCAACTTCAGTTTTGATTAAAATATAGGTGAGATTGTTGTACAACTCATAAATTACGTATACACATGTGACCATTTATTGAAACTGCAACATCTATTATTTTGATTTTATATGTTTTGTGTTGGTTGTTTTTCATTTTCGTGTTTTGTGTTAACCGGTTTGGAATTTTTCGTGACAAAAAAGAAAACCATACCAAAGTGAATCAAATCTAGATCAAAATTCTGATTTAATTTTGCTTCAAATTGAACAACCTAATATCTATATGGATATTGCACCGGATGATTTATGCATTACAATGTTAAACGACGTTTTCTCCCGCCTCACGTTGTGGCGGCGGCAATGTATATGACAAATGGCTGTTTAGAAAATTCGAAGTTGAGGGGATGAAATTGACATCTCGAAAATGTTGCGTCCAAACATAGTGAAACTCGAATTTATATTGATATGTACATGATAATAAAAGCAAGTTTTTTTTTAATATTAAATTAATTAACGGAAGTTCTAAATTTACGTGGAAAAGTCGACTTCCTTGAATTATAGCGACACATAAATTAAAATAAAAACGTAAAAAGTTAGTTTTTTTTTAATGTCAAACAAACCATGAAAAATCAAATTATATAATATTATAGGGGATAATCCCAAAAGTTTATAAAATAAAAGGGTGAAAAATGATACTTTCTAAAATACAAAATGCAAGGGGTTAAAATAATATTTTAAAAAGTTTAGGGAACAAAGTGGTTTAAAAAATAAAAGAGTTAAAGTGTCAATTCAAAAATTTAAGGGATTTGAGGCAACTGTCGGTTCTACCCATCCGTGCATTTAGTATATAGTGAATATTAGTAATATAAAATGACTTTTTTTTGGCAACTTGACAGAAATGACCACCGATTCCTAATTTCTATATTTATATTGCACTGGATGATTTATGCATTACAATATTAAAATTTTAAAAGTTAGATAGAATATTAGTATAAAATCGTGTTGGGGCTTATTCACATTGTAGAATGCAATTGGGTTAGGGCTTAGAGCCATATACACACCGTATCGAAATATCAAAAGTCTAGACCATTAACAAATGAAATCATCTTCCCAATTTATTAATCTCTCTCTCAGTCTCTCTAACAGATTTTAGCTATATTTCTGATTTATCCTTTTACTCCTTCTAGATTATGCATGTAGCAACTTTGATTCATTTGCCCTTTTAATTTCCATATTAATATATGTATCAAGCTGAATATGAAGTGAGATTACGCTAAATGGCGGAGGAGGACTAAATCCAAACAAGAGGATAGTAACGATGGCTATGGACGATCAAATCAATGACTATAACGAAGAGGATGCTTCTTTTCAAATCATATTTTTATGTTTCAATATATATTTGTTTGATGTATTACATATGTTCATGAATTAAAAAGGGAAAATGACTCTTGAGGGTAATTAACTTTTGCGTTTGTACTTTTTTTTTTTTTTTTTGTATTCAATATACCATCGAACTTGTTGTTGGTGTTTACCATAGCCATTTTGACCGGCTTTTGACCTGTGATAGTCGGTCAAAGGGTTATGGTGAACACAAACAACAAGTTCGATGGTATATTGAGTACAAAAAAAGGAAATGGACCAAATGAGAACAAATGCAACAGTTGGTTACCCTCCTGATTCATTTTCGCTTTACACATTTACAACAAATCCCACATCATCTCCTAGTGATATTAATGACTTTATGAGATTCATTCTTGCTTCTCTTCAAAACATAACCTACGAAAGGATATTATTCATACATATACAACTTTGTAATGTGCTTGAATATTTATTAGGGGAATCTTGACTAAGCAGACACATTTCATAACTACATTTAGATTTGCAATCAAATGATTTAACGTATCATGGATTCTAGACAAGTCTACAAACGAGTGGAATCACAAGTGTTGTGATTTTTTAGTTTACTTAGCTTTAAGATCGAACTCATGGGATAAGATACAACATCAATATGTACAATATCATGCTGCTTTTGTAGACACATCACCTTAATATTGTACATATTGATATTGTATCTAACCCCATGAGTTCGATCTTAAAGCTAAGTAAACTCAAAAATCACAGCACTTGTGATTCCACTCGTTTGTAGACTTGTCTAGAATCCATGATACGATAAATCATTTGATTGCAAATGTAAATGTAGTCATGAAATGCGTATGCTTAGTCAAGATTCCCCTAATAAATATTCAAGTGCATTACAAAAGTTGTACATATATGAATAATGTCCTTTCGTAGGTTATGTTTTGAAGAGAAGCAAGAATGAATCTTATAAAGTCATTAATATCACTAGAAGATGATGTGAGATTTGTTGTAAATGAGTAAAGGGAAAATGAATCAGGAGGGTAACCAACTGTTGCATTTGTTCTCATTTGGTCCCTTTCCTTTTTTTGTACTCAATATACCATCAAACTTTTTGTTTGTGTTCACCATAACCCTTTGACCGGCTATCACAGGTCAAAAACCGGTCAAAAGGGTTATGGTAAACACCAACAACAAGTTCGATGGTATATTGAATACAAAAAAAAGGACCAAATGAGTACAAATGGAAAAGTTAATTACCCTCGAGAGTCATTTTCCCAATTAAAAACCAAGAAAGAAAGAAAATTGCTTAAAAATGTTTTTATAGTGAATAGCTTTGAAAAAGCCCAATACTGCCGGATTTTTTCGAACCGGTTTCAAACATTTCGGTCCGATCCGGTTTGTATAGGATCTGGCTTAGTGGATTTGACTACTTTGACTCGATCAGAAGTCCGAACCAGTTTTATAACCAGGTTAAGAAAAAAAAATCCGGTTTGCCCGCCTCTACTAGTTAGAGCCCAAGGCGCTTGGCTGTTGCTTCCTTTACGCAGGAAATCGACCGACGAACACTGGAACATCGAACAGGGGTGATTCACTATTTTTGGCCTCTCTCCCACATGCCGTCTTCTTCTCCTTCAACTCTTTCAGTCTTGGTAAAATTAGTAGTTCAAAACTTTAAATTTTGGTTTTAACCATTTTTTTGGGTAATCTTGAAAATCCTAAATTACTAGACATTGTTGAGATGATTTAATATTTTTATAAAATTATATGTGATCTATAGTCGTTTTTTAATATGATTTTGATAACTCTGTGAATTGTCTGAAGTTTGGAGTCAACAAATTATGTTTATATGGCTACTGATTTTGAGATTCGAATTCTATTTTGACAGATACTGGAACTAGACATCCAAGTTCAATTTAGTCAAACATTGATAGTTTTAGAGACATGAATGGTTTAATTTGAATAGCCACTGGTAGAAATAGAATTGTTCAGTATATGGCATCCAAAAATTGTTTGTTTGGTAAAAAACAAGGTGTAAATCTAGCATTTAACCAAAATCAGTGTAATAATCTCTCCTTTTAGCATTCAAATATATGGTTACTCCATCAAAACAAGAACATACTTTTTTTACCTTCTAATATATACATAAGACGACTGTAACATAGCTGCACAACATTAACCAACACTTACTACTATTAATAATCATGGAAACAATGGAATATTTCGCATATTTTTTATAAATTGAACTGAAAAGTAGATCTTTTTGACCTAACCCAATTATTTTGACCATTTAGACTCGACTAGATTATATAAGTGGCCCCTATGAAGGAATTTTCAGAATTTGCCATTGTAAGGAATAAGAATATCTCATATGTAAATTGATGGGAAGTCTATTCTGGCATTTCTTATCTTATTCCTTTGACTGCTATTTGACTAAATAGCACATAGCTTAGTATCTAAGGAAACATGAAAACATATAATGCAGTAGTGTGTATGTTTACACTGAATATCATTTCCTGATGCTATCTTCTTGGCATTTCATTTAAGTGCATCTTGAGTATTACATATTTCTTACCAAGTCTATATGAAGTTGAAAATAAGTTATTTCTTATATGACTAGCAATAGTCTTATAGCCTGATTTTACATTTTTACATATTTCCCTTTCCACATGTTACAGGTGGATTTTATTGATACACAATAATGCAATGGAGGAATTAATAATGTCTTTAAGGAGAATCTTTTACCACTAACATCGATTGGTTAGTTTCTTTGGGTTTTATAAGGCCATGGGTTTGGGTTCTGCATACCCTAAGACACTTGTACCAATTGCAGCTTCAATTGGGGGACTTGCCTTGTTCTTAGTTTTTGCCTCTTCGCTTCTTGTCGATCAGCCAATTGGATCTAAAGTTAGTGGGTACTTTTTTAACCTAGATCAAGCTAGCAAAGTTGATTTATCGCCCTTTACTAATGAAACAAGCATATTTGAGATCAAGGATAGGGCTAATGATACAGAAACAACTAGAAAGATTGTTGATTCAGCTACCAACAAGACTGTTGATACAAATGTCAACAATACCACTGAGTCAGATATCAACAAGACCATTGACTCAGATATAAACAAGACCGTTGACTCAGGTATCAACAAGACTGTGGATGCAGGTACCAAGAAGAGTGTTGATTCAGGTACCAATATTGTAAATGTCTTTACAGTTCTAAGGGGTTATTTCTGTTTGACTTAATAGGCTTAATGGGTTAAGCATTTAATCTGGAAAGCTATACATAAGGGCTCTTTCTTTTCTACTTAATCTGGAGAGAATGGGTTAAGGTATAAAGACACCACCCCTTTACCTATTTGCCCTTCTTTTTTCATCTCATGACATAATTTGAATAATCTAGTGAAACTTGATTTTTGGAATATTTGGGTAAAATGTTCATATAGAGTCTCTTTCAGATGGTTTATTCGGTCCAAACCTTATGTATACAACATTTTATCAAGACATACATCATTATCAATCCAGCCACTTTACCCATACAAGACTTGATGAAGAAAACAAAAAACGAAAGCACCCCCTCCAACTCATTTGTTGACTTTGCTCTAGAAGGGTTTAAAATTTCATATCTGTCATAATAACTATTGTAGTATAAAAAATGCACTTTATTGTTTTTGTAGTATGAAAAAAGTAAAAAGTTGATATGATTATGATGGTTGGATTTATAATTTGTACTTTTGTAGGGTGTGATTTGTATGATGGGAAATGGGTATATGACTCGGGTGGTCCTTTATACACGAACAATTCATGCCCTGTGTTGACACAGATGCAAAACTGCCAAGGAAACGGTAGGCCTGATAAGGAGTATGAGAATTGGCGATGGAAACCCACAAAATGCAATCTTCCAAGATTTGACCCCAAAAAGTTTCTACAATTGATGAGAGGAAAGACATTAGCTTTTGTAGGTGACTCTGTTGCTAGAAATCAGATGGAGTCAATGTTATGCATTCTTTGGCAGGCAAGTATTTTGTATTCCTTCTCTTCTTTAATTTCTAATATAATTACAACTACTATATGAATTTTTATGAAATCAAACTAAAAAAATATTTAAAACATTTACAGGCGGAAGCTCCAAAAAACCGTGGGAATAAAAGAATGCAACGTTATTATTTCCGATCAACATCCGTAACAATCATACGAATATGGTCATCATGGCTAGTCCACAAAACAACCGAAAATTTTGATTTTGCACCCGAGGGTGTAGACAAGCTCCACCTTGATATCCCAGACGAAACTTTTCTAAATGACATTCCCACTTTTGACATTCTCGTCCTTTCCTCCGGTCATTGGTTCGCAAAAAAAGCCGTTTACATTCTAAACAACGAAATCGTGGGCGGACAATTATGGTGGCCTGACAAATCCCGTCCAAAAAAAATCGAATCCCCCGAAGCTTTTAAAATATCTGTAGCAACTATTATGTCCACCCTCGTGAGTAGCCCGGGTTACACCGGGCTAACTGTGGTCCGGTCGTATTCACCGGACCACTACGAGGGTGGAGCCTGGAACACAGGCGGGTCATGCACCGGGAAGGTGAAGCCCGCCGTGGAGTTGGTGGAGAATGGGTTTACGAATGTAATGCATGAAAAACAAGTGTTGGGGTTTAATCTTGGTGTGAAAAATAAAACGAATAAATCGCGGGTTGTGTTAATGGATATTACAAAAGCTTTTGCGTATAGGCATGATGGTCATCCGGGCCCGTATAGGAGTCTTGACCCGAATAAGGTGGTGAAAAGGAGTGCGGATGGGCGGCCCCCACCGCAGGATTGTTTGCATTGGTGTATGCCGGGCCCGGTTGACACGTGGAATGAGTTGTTGGCTGAGGTTATAAGGAGGGATTTTGAGGCTGGGGATGGGGATTGATTCATAGAATGGTTTTTGATTTGTTATGCTGGGGAGGATTAAGCAGTTGTACATACTATGTTGTTTGTCATAGGCTGCTGCTATTAATATATGAGAGTTATAACGTTCGTTGGTTTTCATTATTCTTGTGTTATTATATGTTTATCTAGGTGAGTTTAACTTAATTTATAGTTTAATTGTATTGTTATGCTAAAATTTAAATTTTACTAGAGATCTATTTCATACCTTATATGGGCCTAAAAGTATCTCTAATGAAAGTATTTTTGATGTCAGTTATTAAGAATCAACTGCAAAAAGTTTGACATGATAGCTTTTTTTAAGGTGATTATACAACCCAATTTTATTCTTTTGGACTTTTCTTTTTTTTTAATATACAATTATCTTTTTTTTTTTTTTCAATAGTGTTCTTTTTTACTTCTCTAATTATATTAATCTTTTATTAATTTTTGACTAATTATTAATTTTTATTTTTTATTTTTATCTTCAATAGCAAATATTAAATTTGTGATTATTGTATCTCATAATATACGAATGGTTGCTTTCAATCTTCCATGAATATTATTTATGTACATAAATTTTACAACATTTGGTTTACTTAACTTTTGCCTTATCTATAGTGGTTGTTATGTATTTGTAAATACACTTGTATGATCAATGCGAATGGTTGAATGAATCTTGCTCAAAGAGGGAAGCATCATAGTTCACTTTTTTCGTTTGAGCAGTTACCAAAAAACAAAACAAAACGAAAAAACAAACAAAGCAGTTCATTGAAGAAAATGTTGTTCAAACTTGATTTCCCAATTTTGGGTGTTGTCGATAAGAAGTACTATTTGGACTGGATTTAACATATATTCATAACCATCTAGATGCCCAAGATCTATTGGATAACATTTATAACGAGGACGATCATGAGGTTGAAGTTAATCAAAAATGAATGCTAAGGTGATGATATTATTTCGCCGGCATCTATCCGACACGATGAAATTGTAACTGTAAACAAACGAGAGGTATATTACAAAAGTATCTTACCAAACATCCCATAATGACAAAGAACAATTCAAACCAGTTGTTCACATCTTTCTAGATGTGTGTAAAAAAGTTCTGCTATTTGAAGATTATGACACTAAAATGGGAGGTTGACAAAGCTTTTTTATGAACTCATTTTCAAATGAATAAGCTATTATAACTTTTTGGTTGTAATGAAAGAAATAATGGAAACAAATGTTGTATTTGTGAAACTATACAAAATGTACAATATCTAGTCAGTAATATACAATAGTAATATACGATGATGGTTTGATATGAACCCGTTGCTAACATGTCAAATTTTGGACTTACTTTACGTTACATCTTACATAACTTTCTATAAATCCAAAATAAACAAATACTCCATACTACATGCGCTCCGAATAAAATACTTATTTTCAAAAATAAAAAGATTATTTTTATTAATTAACTCATTAAATAAAAGCTAATCGATATCCCTTAAATGAATTGTTAATTTTTTTAAGGTTAATAATACTCGATGATAACCACTTATGTAATTTTTCTACTCTAGTTTAATTGCAGCATTAAGCCACTTATGTATTTATTTATTTCTTTCTCGTTGACTCATTTGACCGGAAATAGTTTTGTGGGTTATTATTGTAAATAAATTTTGAAATATTTTTGGTTTATTAAATAATATTATTTAAAAATACCATAAATGAGTAATAAATTATCAGTTTAGAAAATACTGTTAAGTTTTATTAAAATAATGGTATTTTACAAAGACAATTCCGGTTACTTATTATTATTATTATTATTATTATGATTATTATTATTATTATTATTATTATTTTAAATCTATATTGTTTTATAAATAGACAAAATAATTCATTGTCCACTTATATTTCTTTTTGTCTGACTCAAGTTCAACATAACTTAATGTAATTTAGGATTTCTGTAATTGAGTTTTCATTTTAATATGAATCGCCTAAAATTCAATTTAGTTTGATTTTTTTTGGATTTGGACAAAAATCATTTTTTTTAATCAAAATCGCTCACACCCAATGGCCGTTAATTTAATCTAAAAGGGGCACCATATTGGGCTTTCTTTAGCATAGATGTGCTTCGAAATCTCACATTAGTTCAACAACTTTCAAAATTAATTCATTTTCTATCCTTTAGTTTTATATACAAGTTTTATTTTACAATTTTTTTAAACTTATTATTATGAGTATATTAGTATATTACATTATTAAACATATATCATCAACATGCTTAAAACACCAACAATATTGAATATATTTTATTAAAATATTTTTGTAAATGAACACTTTTTTTTTAATTAAAATACATACCAAAAAGTATTAATACTTAATTTAACTATATTTTATCCTTAAATTTCGTTATAAATTTATTATAAGTTTTATTTTGAAAAAATAAAAAACTTTTATTTTATAATTCAACGTATCGGATGGACGGTGGTAAATAAGTGTGTATCTATCTCCCATGACACAATCTTTTATGGATAAAATCCATGTCAGAATATAACATTTTTAATGGTTTTAAAAGGCGTGACAGGACAAATAATTTGTTAGCTTATATATATATATATATATATATTTATTTATGTATTCGTATTAAATCCCAGGTTGTCATGTTAGTGATTACAGACTCAAATTTTTCTTCAAATACAATACATATATCATATCATATATTTGTATATATAATACCAAAGATCGATGATGTATCGGTTTCTGACCATCCTCCTTTGTTTATGTACTGCAAATTTAACGTCAACAAAGAGAATCGAGTATCTTCCAGGTTTTGAAGGACCTCTTCCGTTCCATCTCGAAACAGGGTATTCCATCATTCATTAGATCTACTTCACTTCTTCTTCTTCCTCAGTTTGTTTATGTGATTTTTAACCACCAAATTGAAATGAATGACATATATGTATATGTAGGTATGTGGGAGTGGATGTGAATGAGGATGTTCAACTGTTTTACTACTTCATTCATTCTGAGTCAAATCCCAAAGATGATCCTCTCTTGCTTTGGCTTACCGGTGGCCCCGGTTGTTCTTCAATCTCCGGCCTCCTTCTGCAGATCGGTATCTATTATTTATTGATATCTGATTGATTTCTTATCAATAAGTAAATAAATATAGATCACCAAACATTATTTAATAATCATGAAACTTCGGTTCCTTATCCCAATCCAAACAATATAGGTCCAATTGAGTTTCGCGCGGTGCCTTACAATGGAAGCTTGCCCACCTTGATTCCGAGAATATATTCATGGACCAAGGTCTCTCTCTCTCTCTCTCTCTGTTTATGTATACATTCTTGCGGATAAGTTTTGTGTGGAAGGCGGCTTTCGTGGACCAGAGGGGGGATTCGGTGCAACATAATTAAAAACTGTATATATACAAACGTGTCAATACGTTGATCATTGGATGCCATGGAAAGTAGATCTAGTCAAAAGGTAGGACAGATAGGATGATATATTTTGGGGAGTTTTGTTTATTTTTATGAAAAATGTATACACGGTGTCTCCATTAATTACTGACACACTCAACATTGGAATGTGATTCATAATGTACAAGTATATTATTACAATAGTAATGAAATTATTTTAATAAACCCTATATTTGATCTTTTTATAGATAATACATCTATGAAATTGATTACTCTTATATAACAAATCTTTTTGGAATGCAGATGACAAACATAATTTTCTTAGATATTCCGGTCGGTACAGGGTTTTCTTATGCAAAATCAACACGTAGCGTTCATTCTACCGACATCCAATATTTTGACCATGCCTACGAATTTATGAGAAAGGTACATTTCTCAAACATTATTTTTTATCTTGCAAATTTAATAGAATGGTGAATTAATTTCAACTCAAAAGAACTAGGATACTCATATACAGTTATGTTTTTTTAGATACGGATAGAAATATGTTTGTTTTAAATATCTACTTAAGTTTATTCAAAATTAAACACCACAATAAGGATATTTGTCATCAATTTTGGAAAAGTAAAAGAAAATATTTACAAACTTTAGTAGTTATTCATATTAAAAATATAAGTTTTAAGAGATGAATTTTGTTTTTAAAACAATTATATTTTTAGTCGATTTAAAAGTGATTACCTAAGTATGTTAAACGTGAAAAATTATGAGTTTAAATGTAAAAAAAAAGTATAAGAATCTGTATGATAAGTTAATAAAAATGTTGTGGAAAAAATAAACAAAGATTATTTTTTTTTATTTTTTTTTTTTTTATAAAAAGTTTATACAAAAAGTTTTCTAAAAGAAGTTTAAAAAGATTGAATTTGTAAAAACAAATTAATTTTGAAGCAACTCTATAAAAAATGTTTAGACCAAATTTGTAACAAAATCTAAAACTCAGCAATATTATAAAGTCAACCTACTCTACCCGATATAGCGCTTGGAAATCATGGAAAAAAATGTTTTACCCTTTGATCATTTGATGTAATAAAATGTGTTTGTTGGTCATTTATAGACCACTATACCACGAAAATAGTCTTCCCAAACATAGTGTTGACCTTATAATAACATATAGATCCTTATTTTGTTGCCTTTTTTTTTGTGTGTCACATTTCATCAAACCAACAACGTACTAGATATGAAACATGTTGTATATGATAATTTGACAGTGCGAGTCTTCTTACTATGCTTGGATACATTCAACAGTGGTTCAAGCGTAATCCAGAGTTCACTTCCAACCCATTCTACGTTGCAGGAGACTCGTATTCTGGAATCCCTATCCCCGTAATCACACAACTAATATCAAATGGTATGTTGTTGTTGTTATTATTATTATTATTATTTTGTGAAAATGTTTGAGCATCAATTATGTATAATCAAATTTAACATAACTTTTGTCATGTGCAGGAAACGATGCTGGAACTAAGCCTTACATTAATCTCAAGGTTTCACGTTTTATCCCATGTTAATTGCAATTAGGTATTACAAAATCATTGATGAATCTTGTGCAACAGGGTTACATACTCGGGAACCCTATTACCTTCCCTGCTAACAATTACCAAATCCGATTTGCAAATGGTATGGGACTTATTTCTGATGAACTCTATAAGGTTTGTGCAACTTATATCGTAAGCATCTCCTATATTTCAATACTTGTTTAATTATCTAATGATTTTCATTAATGTCTTTATAGTCATTGTTACAAAGTTGTCATGGAGAATATCAATCAGGTTATATAGACCCAAACAACGTAGAGTGTCTTCGAAACCTTGAGTTATACCAGGAGGTTTATTACTTATTCCTCATTCTTTGTGTTATAAATTTATTTACTTGGCGCCATGAAAAAAGTTGGAATATTTAACTTTTGTAGTGTATTAATGGTATTGAAAAGGAAGACGTGTTAGAACCGTATTGCAGTGCAACCGTTTCGCCAATAAAACTGCCTAGCCAAATACGATCTAAAGAGCGTCGGCCTCTTTCTGCATCTTATTGTCAAGTATGTCTACTATAATCCTTGTAAAATCCAGTTACATGAGATTTAATTAGCATGTGGTTTTGACGATGCAGTATGATCCTAAAGATCTAGTTAATTATTGGGTGAATGATGATGATGTCAAAGAAGCATTGCATATCCGAAAGGTAATTATACATTTAAAGTAAATATAATCGTAGTTATAAGCACTTGAAGAGAAACTAGCTTGTACTCTTTTGAATTGACTAAGTTTAGGTTACAGTATAATTAAGCACATATTCTAGAGGAAATCGAAGCACATATTATAAGACTAAGAAACTCAATATTGTTAGTAAGAGCCGTGATGATAATTCTTTTAACAAGTCATTAGAATAGCGAGTATAAGTATTCTTTACATTTTTTATAATTTTTGAATAATGTTTTTCTAAGTTTTTTATAAATATAAAAAATAAAAAAATAAGTTTTTTTTTTTTTCAAATTTTCATAACCGCGATGACTATTCTCCACCAATCATTCCGTCAATGACACAAACGTTAAACTAATTTAATTGGTCGTGACGCGTTCGTACGTGCATTAAACGTAATACAGACTCGAAAAAATAATTTTGTGCAACGAATGTCCATGAAACGTATCTTTTTCATTTATTTTGTTTTTTTCGTTATTATTATTATTTTTTTGTTTTTTGTTAAAAAAAGTTCAATTTTTTTAAATAGATATATGTTCGGTTCGAATGTTTTTAATTTTTTTCGTTTTTTTTTTTCGTTTTATTTGTAATTTTTTTATTTTTTATTTTTTGTTTTTTTAAATATCTTTACTACATACTTGAAGATTGTAACATCACAATTTTCAAGATCAAAAATTTCATTTTTGACATAACATTTTATACAAACAATTTATAAGAAAACATCATTGAGTTACTTCAATTCATAAAACCATAATCATATGTCTCAAAAACCATATCATCAATATAGTAATAATGTCATACTATAATCCCATGGATCTCAAAATGTGGAAATCATTTGTGTGCGATGCGCTGCTACCATGCCGACTCCTTTCCCTTCGATGAAGAGGTACCTGAAACCAAAACTGAAAACTGTAAGCACAAAGCTTAGTGAGTTCCCTTATCATACCACATATCACATAATGGCTATCCCTCGGTATCTGCCTGGCATATCTGGGAGCTGAGCTCCCCTTCGGTATCTTTCAATCGGTCACCGGGAGCTAACCTCCCCTTCAATATCTATCAATCGGTAACTGGGGACTATTTCACCCCTACCACTACACATAATAGCATAATATAAACATACTACTAAGCATGCATGGGTTCTGACGACCCCTTCGGTATCTTTCAACCGATATCCGGGAACTATCCCACCCCTACTACCACTAACATATATAGCAAGCATCCTATCCCATAAAACATTTCAGATAGTGACGATCCAGACAATTATCACAAAGACAATCATCTAACAAAGATCCCCTACTAGTGGGCCGATGTTATGTCTATAGACCCACTACTACTGGAAGGTAACTCACCTCAATGTCGTATGGTAGTCGAACTGTCCTCGGTGCTGGGATCTTTCTCTCAATCTCCTCAAACTCCTACACATAACAACATTCCTTAATTACCATTCTTACTATTAACTCTTTCGAGGGTCAACTCAAGTCAAAGGTCACGTCCAAGGTTAACATCATGGTCAAAGTCAACTTCTGGTTGACTCAACTCGTCGAGTTCCCTAACTCAGAGAATCTCAACTTCACGATCTGACTCGTCGAGTTTCCCCCCAACTCGCCGAGTTTCTCCTTATGACATAATAAAGACTTTTCATTTGAAGTCGTCGAGTTCATCTTCATATCAATCGGGACATTGCCTTGAACTCGTCGAGTTCATCCTTGAACTCGTCGAGTCCTTTGATCTTCAAGTTTATATTCACGTTCATCTTGTTGAGTCCTCTTCTAGACTCAACCAGATTCCTCAGAAACAGAAAAGGGTTGGGGGAACCATTACCCTACTCGCCGAGTCTTATGAACAACTCGGCGAGCCCCCCAAAGCCCATTTGCATACAATCGATTTCTGTGAAGCTCATTGCATCCAACGAGTACATCTGACCTCCTAAGGTGGATACAACACGTAAAGTCACGAACTTTATGTCCATGCATGGGTCTTCAAGCTCAAAAGGCCCAAAAATGAAGTCTACAAGGTTCATGGGGCTCCCATGACCATAAAGATGGCACCTTTATGCCATGAGAACCCTCTATGGTTCGAGATATGAAGTCATCACTCTACTATACACTCTAAACCCAAAAGTGACTTAGAAATGCCCCAAAAATGACAAGATTCAAGCCCTAAAGAAGATCTAACAAATGGGAAGTCAATGTTGAAGCTTTTACCTCAAACAAGCTGGAAATGCAACCAAGACTCTGGATCTACTGCTTTCTTCTTGAACCTCCAAGCCTTTCCTTCCTTCTTTAAGCTTCAAATCACAAAAATGATACCAAAAAGCTCAAGAACACTCACAACTTCTTAGGGTTTTGAGAATAGGGGTCTGAGGGTGATGGAGGCTGGAGTGGAGGCCAATTAATGTGTTTAAATAGGGTGCAAACCCTCAAATTTGGGGTTTCATCCAGACAGGTCTACTCGTCAAGTCGAGACTTCCGAATCGGCGAGTAGACACTTCCACCCGCGTCCCAAAACTCACATCTACTCGACCAGTTGGACCTCCAACTCGTCGAGTCCTAGAGTAAAAATGCTAAAACTTAAATTAAAATACGTACCAGGAACTGGGCATTACAAAGATAGTAGGGATCTTTTTTTTTTTTACTAAATATCGGCTTAAGTTTTTTAATGTTTAACAATTAGAAAATTTTAAATAAGAACAATATTAAGGATCATAATATTTTCCGTTCATACTTTTTTTAAATCATATTATTTTTAGATCATAAAATTTTGAATCATAATGATATTATGCATCATACTTTTTGAATCATAATATATTGAATTAAATAAAGTTTTTGTTTAATATAACATTTGGATCATTATATTTTTTGAATCGGTTAACTTTGAATCATAAAAATATAATAATTAAGGATCATTAAAAATTTGTATCAAAATACCTTATTTTTTAAAAATTATGTTTACGAAGTCATTCAATAGTGAGGTATTCCTTAAATTTTTATAATTTATGGAGAATTTTTTTTTCGGGTTTTTATAAATAAAAAAATATTTTCTTTTCAAAATTTTGTGATTGTGCTCATTTTGTAGAGAATTAAATTATAAAAACTTTGGTTTTTTCAGATTTTTTTTTTCAAAAAAAAAAATTATGGTTGAAAAACTAAACAAGTAGAAAAAAAAAACTCACCAGCCAATAAGGACTGAACAATTGTCATGCTGGGGAGGGTGGTGGGCACATGTCAGCTGGAAAGGCCACATGACTTGATTTTCATTTTTTTTTTCATTTAATTTTTTGGTTTTTTTCACTTGTACCCACCAAACAATTAACCTTCTCTTGAAATTATCAAACTCTTACAATTAATTACGAAAATGTCATATAATCTAATGAGATTTTGACGATAAACAAAATCATATCTTGGTCATTTATTTTTTTAAATCTTAAGGCTAAAAATTGTCCTCACAATAAATAAATATATATATACACACACGTTCATGTGATCCTTACATTTATTGTGTGTTACTATGTATAAATAAGAATTTAGTAAAAAATAAATTATTATTTAATAAAATAAAGATAGATATTAAATGATTTTCATAATTGTATGTATATTAAATGATATACATAATTATAATTTCATTTTTATTGAAACTAATTAAATTTGTTAATAATGTGGGCAATAATATTCTTTCAGAATGAATTCTCATCTAGGTTTTCATGTATGGGTTCGAGTTTCTTTTCAGAACCCACTCACTTAAAATACAATAAAGTTGTTTGAAACATAGAGAACGATAGTGTATTCTACTAGAATAAACTCTCATTATGCTAGAATACATTATCATTCTCAATGTTCTAGGCAGCTTTGTTGTATTTTGAATAAGTGAGTCTTGAAACAAAACACAAACCCATACATAAAAACGTAGATGCAAATTCATTCTAAAAAAATATTATTGCTGATATTGATGACGAACTTAATTAGTTTCCTTAAAAATAATTATAATTATGAATATCATTTAATATCTATCTTTATTTAATTAAATAATAATTAAATTTAATATACAATATATGTGTCTGGGGCTAGGTTATAATGTGGATGGACAACTATTATGTGGACGTGTGGATAATGCTATTTTATGAAAATTACTAAGAAAATATGTTGTTTAGCAATGTGAATACGTTCAATCTTATAGAACTATTGTTCTTTTAATGGATTCTCACCAACTCTAATTTATTTTTGTTCTCATTCATCGTTCATTTATTTATTTTAATTCTTACATAATACGATTCAATAACCATACTGATAACATTCTGACAGAATGAGAATAATTAAAAAAAATGGATAATAATCTTATAGACGATTTAATTAGTGAAAATGCTTAATAATTAAAATAACTATATAAGATTGAACGTATTCATATTATCAAACAACATATTTTCTTTGTAATTCTCATAGAAATTCTCATAGAATAGCATTATCCACACGTCCACATAATAGATGTCAATCTACATTTGAACCTATATCATACTATATTATAAAGGAAATTTTTGTTAATCACTGTATTCATTTGAAACTCCCATTTATTTTTCTTTTTACCACATTCATTTGAAACTCCCATGACTTTTCAATTTCTTTCTAATAATGATTATAAGTTGGTTAATAAGATTAAATAAATATCAAACCTAAAGTGTAATCATATATAAACTAAATTTCAATATTAAAAAAATATATTTACTTCTACTTATAAAATTATATTTTTTTTTTTTTACCTTTTTACATATTATACTTAATTTATTTGTTTTAATATATTATTTGATGTAAATCATTGTCATTTTAAAGCTACAACTTTTGAACAATTTGTATAAAATATTTAAATTTTAAATTTGAATATAACATTACAAGACCAACTTAAATATAAATTTTAATTTAACTTAAACAACCAAAATACTATTTTGTAAATAGTTAAAAGTGATAAATGGTAGTGTCTTTCTAATAATGATTATAATTTGGTTAATAATGTTAAATAAATATCAAACCTAAAGTGTGATCATAAAGAAACTAAATTTCAATATTAAAATAATATATTTACTTATACTTATAAAGTTATGTTTTTAATTTTCAACATATTATACTTAATTTATTAGATTTAATATGTTGTATTATGTAAAGCATTATCAATTTAAAGCTACAATTTTTGAAGAGTTTGGACAAAATACTTAAACTGTCTTTAATTCTCACAGTCGTCCGCCACTTCGTGGCCAAGATTCTGCCACGTCGTGGTGGCCTCAAGACAAAATAGTCACGGAGACTGCCTTTTCTCACGCCTTGAAGGCCAATCCTTCACGTTGTGAGAACTCCTCTGGCCTTCTTAATGCATTAAGTTCTTAATAACCAAGGCCACCCATCCATATGTTCCAGAAGGCTTTCCTTTACCTAATGCATCATAAAAATCGGTGCTTTATTGACATGCACGTCCAATGCATGTCTCTTTACATTTTAGGTCAAAAACATGGAGGAAATGAACTCAAACTTGTGTATGTGACCAAAAACACCGTAGATCTCTAGATCTAGAACATATAACCCCAAAGGGACTTCAAGGATCCATAAAGTTGTTTACTTTACGGAATCTACTCATCCAAACCAACAAGAATATGAAGAACAAGCCTCTAAATCTAGATTTAAAAGGTTTGCACACTAAAGATAACAACTTGAGGAGTTCCAAAGGTCCATTAGGTGTGCAACAAGATGATGAGGATATTTTTTTGTTGGATCAATACTCAAGAACACCTTCTTCTTCTCCTTCAACGTCACAAAACACCTCAAAGCTTTAAAAAGGAGTCGATGGAGGCTAGGGTTTATTTGAGGGTGAAAGAGGTGATGGAGGTTGAGGGTATGCAAACACTAGCCCTCACTTCCTTTAAATAGGGTTCAAGGCCCGAAAAATATGGTTTTACAGGCAGGAGGTTGTCACGTCGTGACCAATAGTTTGTCACGTAGTGGCACTCAAAGAGATACGCATTCATGCATTTGGCATGCCACGCCGTGGTGCTTTATTCACCACATCCTGGCACAAGGTTTTTCCCAAAAACGTTACTTTTGATCCCTTTAAGTCCTCAATCGACCTATTCCGGAAAACAGGTGTTACATATAAAATAAATTCAAAGTACTTCATGCACTTTTGATTATGTTTTAGTCAGGAACATATCCTCAATACTAGTAACACAGACCGGACGCACAACCCTAGCCAATCCTTATCAGTAGGATCTCACATAAATTCTTCAATACATTTGTCTTTATATGTATGATCCTTGTGAGCCCTATTTTCATGATCTGAAGTGCATCATGTGCCATGTCCATGGTACCACTGATTATGGCCTATATCCATATCCTTTAGAATCATTACCTACTCAAAAGAAAACTTCAGCTGATATAGTGTCTTCTTGGGGCACAATCACTTCACCCGATGTAAGTTTCATATCTAGTTTCGAAGATGAATACATAGGCATCGCTAATGTCGCTGCTAAGACATGTTGGTTGTGTGATATCCTCAGAGAACTTCATGCTTCACTTACTAAAGGAATTGTTGTTTACTATGACAATGGTTGCGAAAATACATGTCCTCAAACACAATTCAACATCAACAAACCTAATATATTGAGATCGACAAACACTTTATTCTCTACCATGTTGTTTTAGGGAGAGCTCATGTACTTCATGTTCTATCATCATCTCGGTACTATGATATCTTATTCAAAGGTTTTCCATCATCTTTATTTCTTGAACTTTGGTTCAGTTTTAATGTGAGCATTAAACCCCAATCAAGTTTTGGAATGATGTTAGTATACAAATAATAGTTTAATAGGCCCATGTTTTAGGCCATTTTTTGTAAAACCAATATATATATATATATATATATATATATATATATATATATATATATATATATATATATATATAAGTTATGGAAAATACAATGTCCAAAAACACATAAGGAAAATATTATACTAGGAAAAAATGAATAAAATTGATAACTAACTAAATAAAAACAAGGGTTAACTTTGTGAAAGGATTGGTCCTATAGAGAGGTGTGTGGTTATGTATACGAGTAGAAGTTGAATGGGCATTGTGAGGTGTTATGATAGGACAGTGAATATGATAGGGTTTGCTGAGGATTGATGACGACATTGCATATTGATGGAAGGAGGTGTGAGGAATTGACGAAGACAAGATATATGAGGTGAGTCAGATGCCTGAATTAAAAGTTAGACAACGGATGGTTTTAAAAATAATAAAAAGTTGGTTATAGGTATAAAACATTTTAATAAAAATTTGAGTTTAATTGAGTCGATAATACTATATTCCATTGATGAAATGAACACTTGGAAGAACCCAAAATTAGATTTTAGCATGTAATTTATCCCTTTAACAGTTTACAGCTACTTTTGCAGAACCATTCTACGCAAACGAAACTATCTTAATTTATCCCTTTAAAAGTTTACAACTACTTTTGCATAACTATTCTACACAAAGAAAACTATATGTAATTTGTCCATTTAAAAGTTTACACCTACTTTTGTCGAACTATTCTACAAAAACAAAACTATACTACCAATTAGTTTTGAAAACATACCCTTAACGTTTGATTATTAAAATTGTCATTAACGAGTTTGAAAAATATTAGTTTTGTGTGTATTGTGTTTTTGGAAATGGTTAACTCACACCCTCTAAATTTTACTCCCAAAATCACACATTTCCATCACGAGACAACCTTTAGAGGAGATATACATTTTCAAACACATGATATTGCTTGGCCAAGAGCCCTTTGGTTCATATGTATCTTAATGTTAAACAACTTTATGGATAACTAATAACAATTCCTATATATTTAGGGTAGATATAACTAATAACAATTCCTATATATTTAAGGTAGATAGAGCCATAGTTTGTTAATACATATCCTACAAAAATGCAGGGAAGCATAGGAAATTGGATAAGATGCAACCGTGATTTTTTAAATTTCACCATAACATTATATGATGTGAGACCTTATCATCTCAACCTTAGTAGCAAGGATTACCGCTCACTCATATACAGGTTCTCTTCATTTTACAACATATTATATGGATTCACATTTGATCTTGGGATTGAAATTTGGTAATAATTTGGCACAGTGGTGATCATGATATGCAAGTTCCCCATCAGTCGACTCAAGCATGGATAAAAGACCTTGATTACAATGTCACCGATCAATGGCGTTCATGGAAGCATCAAGGTCAAATCGCCGGGTAATGTATAATTGTTGTTATTAGTCATGCCATAACGTGATACCAAATTAGGTTGTCATGTTTGTCATGTTTGTACAGGTATACACAGAGTTATTCGAATAGGATGACATTTGCTACTGTGAAGGCAAGTAACCAAAATGTTATTGTTTCCTATGTTTATAAATATTGTTTTTATTTTTGAAAACGATAGGTCACCTGAAGTTGAAGCTTTTGAGATTTGAATCTGGATCGATGCGTTTTTTTTGTGTGTTGCAGGGTGCAGGACACATCGCAACTGTATATAAAACCGAAGAATGTTTTATGATGTTAAAGAGGTGGATTGAATATCGACCACTGTAACCAAAAATACCGGTTGCATAGCCTATAGGGAACTAAACTAAAGAGATTACATAAGAAAATTGCTATCGTTTTATTTTCAGAACATGTAATCGATATTCCACATAATCTCTATAGCCTTATAGGTTAAACAAATGATGCAATATGCAAACAGTTTTCTTCGGTTATATAGTTGTGAATCATTAATTTAACCACAAATAAAAAATATAATGATTTCAATGGACCTAAAATATAAAAATAACACAATGAATTGTTAAGCGTCAAAGGATATTAATTGTTGAGTTTTTCTAGACTTTTTCCTAAAATATACAATCATCGTAGATTGAAGCTATTAGTTTTGGTTCAATTATCTTAGAAAGATATATAGAAAAATGGAGAGATATACTCATATACATGATTAATTTTATATACAGATAAGTACGTAATCTTTAACAGAAACGTTATATATAGCCAATTAAAACATTAATGCAAGTTTGGAGTTTTTTCCTCGTAACTATTTTATTTTGTTTCTATGTCAAAGTGTCGATTGTCAATGGCATGATATCAAGGTTTCCAAACAAAACACGTTATTTTAACTTAATTTAAAAGTTCAAAGATTTAGTTTAAAATAGAGCCGTTTTAGATAAATATACCCATTTATAACCTTATAAGTAATTTTTCTTTAACACGTGATTAGACTTTATTTTAATTTTGCTCTGCCTAATTCTGTGTTTGGTGTTGGTGTAGAATTTGGGGGCTTTTGTGGACTTTCTTGGCCAGCAAGATAAACCACGACCATTTTTGAGTCAGACGAAAGGACTACACGACAGAGATGTGTGATTAAGGAGAAAAATAAGTTTTTTTTTTTTTTTTTTTTTTTTTTTTTTTTTTTTTAGATGGGATTGGACATTCCTTGAAGCAAATTGGGTAAAAAGGAAGAAAAAGACATTAATGTCTTGTGTATAAACGACTAAACGAGAGATTGACATCAAATCGTGTTTGTTGTTCCACTTTTTTTAGTAGGAAAAAAAAACATATTTCATTCACATAGTGATTAGTCATAGACTTCAATATGTTCCATCTTTCGGTTTTTCATTAAGAGTATCAAATGAAAATTAATTTGATTGGTTGGCTTTAGAAACCCTATTTCTTCTAAGTAAATTTTCTTGTTATCTAGCATCTTCTTAGGTTTTTAATCAAATCATGTTCTTACAATAATACAACATGTTATACGATGTTCAAATGGGCCGGGGGAATGAAAGGAGGGCTGGGTTAAAAGAAAATGTCTACTTTGACTTTTAAATATATGATGTCGTTCTCATTATAAATTTGTCACGCTATTTTATCTTAACGTGTTGTTATTGAATTTGGCTATTGATTTGTGAAAAAGCATAAAATGACAAATATATAATATAAGATAAAGTTACTATTTAATATTACGTAATGTCATAACCCAACTAATTCTTCCTATCAAATTTGAGAGTGCTAAATAGCTTAAAGTTACCTAACATTTTTTGGTTGAAGGGAAGGAAATTAAATCATGCCCGATATCATGTATCGTTTTTTCATCATCTCCCTTTGTTTGTGTGTCGCAAACTCAACATCAATAGGAAGAATAGAGTATCTTCCAGGGTTTCAAGGACCTCTTCCTTTTTATTTGGAAACCGGGTATCCATGTATTCATTATATTTTTAGACTTTGCATCTTAGTTATCATGTTTTTTGTTAAACATATCCATAATGTGTAGCTATGTTGGCGTGGATGTGAATGAGGATGTTCAATTGTTTTATTACTTCATTCATTCTGAGTCAAATCCCAAAGACGATCCTCTCATGCTTTGGCTTACTGGTGGTCCGGGTTGTTCCTCCATTTCTGGCCTCCTCTTTGAAATCGGTATTTATATTTACTTTTTCTTGGATGCTTGTGATTAAAAGGATGGATTGCCATCATATAAAGAATGTCATGTTGAGGTTAATAATGAATTTTTTTCGTTATTGACGGATTGTTGATAATAATTGATATATATTATAAAAATAATCAAAGCTAATTAGAGAGAGGGAAAGGAGAGAAGATCTCTGAGTTTTGATTATTGAATCAAGGTTAAGTTACATACAATCTCAACAACAGAAAACTAATAAAACTAACTCGACTAACTTCTAACAAACTTGCATGTGTTTCAACTTTTAACTATTAGCCTTATCGGCCGGCCCGATTTAGCAAAACCTTCACATTTTGTGGTGGGATCCCAAGTATACAATAAAAGTTTCTTTGCAATATATCACCCTTTTTCAATTAAAACATGTATAATCCAACGAATTGTTATACGTTTTCTTAAAATAAAAAAAAAAAAGAAACATGTCACTTTGATTCAATAACTTTAAACGTGCACCCTAAATTTTAAAAAAAGATTTTTTTTTTTTTTCTAACATTAACACACTTTTAGCACATATATAATAGTTTAGACATGTATTTTTAATATTTGGTTTTTTGATCCGATCGGAATAAAATAGGTCCAATTGAATTTGGGGCCGCGGCTTATAACGGAAGCTTGCCGAGTTTGATTTTGAGATCTCGTTCATGGACCAAGGTCTCTCTCTCTCTCTCTCTCTCTCTCTCTCTCTCTCTCTCTCTCTCTCTCTCTCTCTCTCTCTCTCTCTCTCTCTCTCTCTCTCTCTCTCTCTCTCTCTCTATATATATATATATATTATATATATATATATATATATATATATATATATATATATATATATATATATATATATATATATCACTTCCCTATTCTAATTCATGAATAGTTTTAATTAGAATTTTTTTTGGTAAAATGACAACTACTCATTAATATTATATTATATGTTATGTAGATATATTAGGTAATTTATTTCAAAATTCAAATTTATATTTTGTAATTATATGTTAAAATTTGAAGTTATAATAACTTTAAAATTTTGATATATCTCTTAATTAATAACTTATTTAAATTAATTGATTAATAATTATAGATTTTTATTATAAAAATTTAATTAATTTTATAACTGTGGTTCTACCGGTTATAAACTAATATATATATTATATATATATATATATATATATATATATATATATATATGTGTGTGTGTATAAGATAATTTTTCCACATGATAATCTTTAATAAATTTTGATATTTGTCATTTTATGCTATTTTTTAAACAAATAATATCCACATGCCAATTTATTTATGTTTTTTTTTTAATTTTTAAAATTAAAAAACCACATAATACTTATACTTATATATATGTAAACTATCAAATATAATAAATGTTATACTAAATTACAATTAATATGTTTCGTATTTCAAAATTTCATTCTTTATTTCAAAATTTTATTTTAAATAATACGTATTATTTATATTTTAAAGTTTTATTTTTTTAATCAACCACGTATAATACACGAGTTTTACAGCTAGTGTATATATATATATATATATATATATATATATATATATATATATATATAATATATATATATATATATATATATATATATATATTGAAAAAATGGGTTTATAATTTTAAAAGATATGGGTTTTACCATTTTGGAGCTTAATGCCCGGTTCTTATCCAAACTAGAGACGGAAAGAAGATTGTGGATGTTTGTTATGTTCAATGATACATTAGGTTTGGTATATGGAAAGTCAAAATGGACAACGAACGAATGAGATACTAACCATCACCGTATGATGGTTGAATAGACGTGTAAAGAAGTTAGAATGGCTAGTTCAGTCATTTTATGTGTTAGTTCGCACACATAACAGCTTAGACAAGTTTTTGTTGAAATTTCGTTCTTGTCATTTTTCGTAACCAATAAATTGATGGCGTTTTCCATTATGATTTTTTTAAAACGTTATTTTTTTAATGTTTGTGGATTGGTTACAGGTTTTCTATATAATTACAATATTTTTTTGGACACTTAAACGTTTTATTATATCACGTTTTGGATATATACTTTGCATCATTTTTGTCTATGTTTTTTGCTTATCTTTTTATCTTATATATTTGACTCGTTATAAGTAACATGTAACATGTAATTCAAGTTGATTCTAATAAAACTTTGTTATGATACAGATGGCAAACATAATCTTCTTAGATATTCCCGTCGGTACTGGGTTCTCTTATGCTAGAACGGCACATGCTTCTTGTTCTAATAACATCCTATATTCCGAGCATGCCTACGAATTTATAAGAAAGGTATAGTCTTAATGATTAGTAACACATTTTATAATTTTAAAATGTACTTTACGAAAATAATATTTCTCTCATTTTAGTTATAACTCCAACATAAATATAAGACATAGTTAGATAGTCTTTTTCGAAAAATTAGATTGTATAATAAAATTTCAACTTCACGTTTTTACAATAATTTTATATCCTTATTTTTATTATTATAAAATGGTTTTAAAATATCTAATTTACTTGTTTATAATTTTTATAAATGTTAAAGTATCGTTGTTAAATCCATGCATGTAAAACACTATTAAAAATCTAATAAAACAATAATAGTCTTTACAACGAGATTTGAACCCTCAACCTCAAGGAGAGAGGGCAACACCGGATACCGCTGGGCTAGAAGCCCTTTGGGGTGTGTGTGTGTGTGTGTGTATATCCTCTCTTTCTCTCCACCTCTCAGCTTCTCATCTTTCCATCTCTCTTCAAAACACATACAAACACACTATCTCTCTTAAGAACACCCTCACACACTCTCAAGAACATACACATCCATCTTCGACTATCGCCACCTTCAACCATCTCCATCTTCGCCCATATTTCTTCTACCATTTCCATCTCCGCCAGAAATAGTTCCAAATCTCCTCTCCTCTCTCTCAGTTGAAATCAATTTAGAAACTCAAATTCCCCTTTCATTTGAAATCAATTCAAAATGTCTACCTGAAACATCCCAAAAATACTACCCAAAAATTTTTGTTTTAATATTACTAAAAATCGCAACATCAACTATTAGATAATAAAACCATGAATCGTATGTCTCAAAATGTCATAGTAAATGTATCAATTCAAAACTGAAGTTAATATCATATCGAAATATCTAAATAAAACTCCCATGAATAAACTGCAACTGTGGTGTGTGCCATGCTATCAATCCGAGCTCTTCCCCTTGCTTGCGGAAGTACTTGAAACCAAAATTGAATCTGTAAGCACAAAATTAGTGAGCTCCCCCAAACTACCACATACTATACAATAACATATAAAGCACATACTAGGCCTTGCCCACTGCATCGGAATGAAATCTGGAAACTGCATCGAGCCGAAGCCCGGAACAACTGGGGCCTTGCCCCGTGCATCAGACCGAAGTCCGGACTAACTAGGGCCTTGTCCCGAGTATCAGACCGAAGTCCGGCTAACTGCATCGGATCGAAGTCTAAACTAACTGGCTGAACATGGCATAGCATAATCATAACTACTAACATAAACACATATATTGCATACTGCATCGGATCGATGTCCGGAACACATAACACAAAAAAAATGTTTGAATCACAAAGACATCAAGCACTGAACTACTGCATCGGACCGAATTTCGGAAACTACTGCTAACTAGACGGGTCAGCATTGTGGTCGTAGACCCGTTCCTACTGGAAGGAAAACTCACCTGAACTGCTGAACTCGGCCGATAACCCTCCGGCTGCTAACCGACAACTTTCTGAAATACTGCTCCTCTAGCTTCCTGAGCAACCAATTCCAATAACAACACTTAGACTAAACTATCCTCCCGAGGTCAACTAAGTCAACTTTGGTCAAAGTCCTGGTCAAATTCAACCTTCCTGATTGACTCTACTCGCCGAGTCAACCCGTCGACTCGTCGAGTTCTTATACTCAGAAAACTCCCATAACTCGCCGAGTCGCCCTAGGACTCGTCAAGTTGAACGATCACTGAATTTCTCCTTGACCAACTCACTGAGTCGCCAACCGACTCATAGATCCGAAGCTTAACCAAAAGAGGTTGGGGTTCTGCGACCTGACTCGCCCAGTCCACGACAATCTTCAACAGACTCGCCAAGTTGTTCTTCCAACTCGTCGAGTCCATGCACATGTTCATACAACTCGTCGAGTACACCCATGTGACTCACCGAGTCTCTCCAGTTCTCAATCCATTCAGAGGCTTTCGAGCCATGCAAGGGCTCCAAACCATAGATCCACCCCTTTACAATCTAACCCTCACATAAAGTTGCAAACTTTACGTGAAACCAAAGAGATATAGGCCCAAAACACACTATAGCTAGGGTTATGGACTAAGGGGCTTCACCAACAACTCTTAAACAGATACTTTATGACATTATGACATTATGGACCATCAAAAGCCTATATCTGAACTCCAAACCCGAAATAGATCTCAAATAAGTTAAAGAATTCCCAAAACAACCACCAAGGATGAACCAAAAGGGAAATAGCTCAAGATAAGGGCTCCTTACCTCAAAGATGTGCCCAAAACTGATGTAGATCCCATATCTATACAAGCCCCTTGATGCTAGCTTCCAATTTCTCAAGCTCCTTCCACCAATTTCCTCTTCCAAGCCCCAATCTCCTCAATAACGAAGCCTCACACGAATTTAGGGTTTTTCTAGAACTCTCTGGGGATTAGGAGGTTATGAGTGGGACATAAAGTCCTTTAAATAGGGTGCAAACCCTAAGATTAGGGTTTTCTCATTCCAGCACCAACTCGTCGAGTCCAGCTTCCGGCTCGGCGAATTGGTCACTTAATTCGCGATCCAAACCCGCTCCGACTCGGCGAGTAAGTATACTTACTCGTCGAGTCCCTTCTTCATTTTACACTTTAAGCCCGTAACTCAGACTTCTAAAAGTTGGGATGTTACACTACCCCTTACCCTCATTTGAAATTGATTCAGGCTTGTTAATAAAAAAATGAAGAATATCGGTTCGAGATTGCAGGTGCGGTTTGAGATAAGACAAAAATGGTACAAACCCCGATTTCGATTGTCGGATTTCAAAGCACACACTGCCATCGTGTTCTATTTGATGTCTCCTACAAATCCCACCCAAACCCATCTCTGATCGATCTTCGGAGCAAGGTATGCCAACTAACCATTCATCATCGACTTCATGACATTTTTGTGGCCACCTCCGACCGCCATTCCACAAACAAAACCACCACCCTCTATGTTTATGTCTCTGTCCTTCCCTTTAACTTTACTTCATACAGAGGATCATAATCGAACAAGATGAAGGAGTTAGTGGTACAGTTTTGGTGCCGACGGGTTTCCAAGAAATAATAGTTGATTCTTCTATTGGATATGGAGGCATTGATGTGTGTGTGTTTAATCAAAATTTGTCATCTTCTACACAAACATGTTCTTGTAAGTGGGGAAAGGGATCTCGATTTTCTAGAGTGCGTGTGTGTCTTGATTTGTGGTGGTGGTTAATGGTGATGGTTGTAGGTAATGGTGATTGTTTTGGTGGCAAGTTGTGTGGTGGTAGGTGATTTGAAAAGTAATTATAGTAGGTGGCAGTAGGTGGTGGTGGGCAGTAGACAGTGGATGGTGGGCGATGGCAATAGGTGGTGTGATGGTACGTGGTGGCAATAAGTGTATGCTCTTGTATGTGTGTGTATCTTTTTTAAGTGTATTTGTTTTTTATATAAAGAATTAAAAAAATAAAAAATGTATTTTCATCGTTTTACAAACACATAACATAATTTGTTAACGATTCATGAGATGTGTGTAAAGATACTAGTGATAATGCATTACTTTTCATGATGTTGGGAGTTACACATTTCATGTCATAGCCTTGAGTTAGGTGACAATGGTGGTCACGGTTGTTAATAGGAGCACTAGGGGTGGACAGGGGTCTCTTTTGAAAAGACAAATACATTAAAATAAATTACTAAACGGTAAAATGGTAGTTTAAGAAAGATAAACAAGCCAAACCTTAGAGTTAACCTTTTTTTTAACAGAAAATATACTAAACTACTCCTAAATTATTTCACATATGTCCACTGCAGGACTTGAACCATCGACCTCAAAGAGGAAGTACAACACCAGATATCACTGGGCTAGAAGCCCTTTGGTCTTTAGAGTTAACAACTCAATAACTATCCTTTGAAAGCAAAACCCACATGATGCAAGAAAAAAGGTTAGACTGAAATTGTTTAATCTAGCATCACACCAAGAAATCATGAACCTTTGTGTAATTTACTCTTTTATTTAGCAAATGAATTTGGTCTTTAATTTAATAACAGTTTACAGATAATAATAATAATAATAATAATAATAATAATAATAATAATAATAATAATAATAATAATAATAATAATAATAATAATACCACTTCATCGAAAGCAATTACTTAGGTTATCAGTTATACCCACCACTAACCACAATAGTGGTGGGTGCTACATCATCACCACACTCCCTACCACTAACTATGGGATACCTACCACTAAACACACCACTCCACCTCATTTTTTTTGTTTAAATTTAATTCAAAAATACATTAAAAAACATATAATTTTTATTAAATACTAATTATACAAATAAGTGATTTAATAATAATAATAAGAAGAAGAATAATAATAATTTAAAACAAATTACTTAATTAATTAGGTAATATAAATCCAAGGTTTAATTTGTCATTTTAGAAACTATATATGTTAAAGGATTTCTGGTAAAGGGTATTTTCTGTCAATAAACTGCATCTCAGGGATCAAAGTTGGCAAGAATTAGAAATTGTGTCTTCTTCCCCACAGGAAAAAAAAACTCCAGCTCACTCTTTTTCTCAGTTTCCCTCCTTCAAGTGAGCAATCCAATCTCATTGGTCGTTTTGATTCAAGATGCCCACCACCGAAGACCACGAGCACGGAGGACGACGATGGTTCGAGTTAATGTGCGCGAACCACAGTTGTAGCCAGCTAGACCACGAGACCCACGTGGTCCATATAAGGGTTGGTCTTATTTCACAAACATTAAATCATCTTTGTCTATGTGTACCAACTTAATCTAATTAATGTGCATGCTATTACACACCAAACAACATATTCCAAATTCCAAAATGGTGTCGTCGCATGCTCTTTTTTTTAAAACGGCGAATAAGAAGCATATATTAGAAAATATGAAACCATAGCAAGAAGCTATGCAATCGGTACAGTACAAGGAGCAACAAACAGAAACATAAACTAATGTACAAACAAAAAAAGTAAGCAAGATGTCAAAATGGGAAGCAGCTCCATACTACCCAACATTTTCTAGAATTACCCCCTATATTTGCACCATTCAAACGCCTGTAATAATTGAATCCGCCGTTTTAGTAGGAGAGGGATGTTTTTTGTGAAAGATTCTCTCATTAAGGGCTGACCAAATGTTACACACTATCGAGTATAAGATTGCATTGAGTACATGCCTTTTGTTTGAGCAGTTCCCCCCAAGAATTACCAAACTCAATACATTCCTTGATACTGTTAAATTCAATACCCTATAGACCACACCATTTGAGAATCCAGCACCATACTGTCTTTGCAAAGTTACACCCGAATAAAAGATGATTTGCTTATTCGATTGCACTTTCGCATAAGTGACAATTCAAGTTATTTACCGAAATACCCCTTTTATTGAGTGCTTCTGCGACCGAATTTCTGTCAAGATTGACCTTCCATATAAAACATTTGACTTTAAGGGGAATGAGTTTCGACCAACATATCAGTGTCCCAGTGAAATGGCTACCAGAATCGCCAATTAGTCTCCTCATAATATTAACCATATAAGTTCCCTCTTGGTGTAAGTTAAATCGAAATCCAATTTTTGAATAGAATTGAAACTCCTGAGAGGCGAAGAATTGATGAAACGCATGTAATTCCATAAGCATATTGTTGTTAGGGGGTTACATTTCCATCCCCACACAAAACCATCCGCATTAATCTTGTCCAAAAGTGTGCACTTTTTAACCGACTCCATGTTGTACAAATAAGGGAATCGAATTTGTAATGGGATATCACCACACCAGATGTCTTTCCAAAAAAGAATTTGTAGTTTGAAGCTTGGATTTATAGAGAATATCCCACTTGGTTCGATGTTACGGCTGGATAGACTTTTGATAGCCTTGTCGATATTACACCAAACACCAGAACTATCCTTCCTATACAAAAACATGGAGGGGTGTACTTTCAAATTATGAATACTCTCAATAACTTCCGCCCACAGATTCCCTTGTTCATTTTTGAGTCTCCACCACCATTTGGTTAAAAGTGCAATGTTTTGTGCTACTAATGTGCCAATTCCTAAGCCACCTTTTTTCTGCTTCTCACAATCTTAGACCAGTCCACCCAATGAATTTTCATTTTGTCTTCGTCTCCACCCCATAAGAATCTCCTTCTAAGTTTTTCCAAGGATTCCAGGACTTCCTAAGGTGCTTTAAAAAGATAGAGGTAATACGTGGGGAGGTTACTGAGGACCGATTTAATTAGGTTCAATCTACCACCAAATGAAAGTGTGTTCGCTTTCTAACTTGACAACCTCTTTTGAAACTTGTCCAATATTGGTTGCCAATTTTTCTTTGGTGTCATATTCGCTCCAACTGGGACACCCAGATATGAAAACGGGAATGAACCTCTCACACATCTAAGTGTTATCGCTATAGATTGGATTTCAGAGTCAGGAACACATATGCCAAAGAGTCTAGATTTATGAAAGTTGACTTTTAGTCCAGACGACATTTGAAAACACTTGAGAATACGAGAGAGATTTTTAATACTAACTTGATTCCAATCACCCATAAATAGGGCATCATCGACATAGAATAAATGGGATAACTCTGGGCCATTGTGGGGTAGCTTAACACCATTAATCAAGTTTTTCATCTTAGCACCTTGCAATGCGACATGTAAACCTTCCATGGCGAGTATGAAAAGAAATGGAGATAAAGGGTCGCCTTGTATAACTCCACGTGAAATTTGGAATTCGTTTGTGCAGAACCGTTTATCAAAACAAATGCCCTTGAGCTTGAGAGGAAACCGAAAATCCATGTGCACCACTTATCTCCAAATCCCATTTGTTTCGTTATTGATTCTAAGCAACCCCAATTAATAGAATCAAAGGCTTTTTCGAAATCTACCTTGAAACAATACATGGATTTCTTGTTCTTTTTAGCCCAAGAATGAAGTTCATTAACTACGAGAGGACCATCTAAGATGTTTCTGCCTTCGATATATGCTGACTGAACTTCATCAACAACCAGATGAATGACTTCTTTGATTCGATTTGCTAAAATTTTCGCCATGATCTTATATAGACATCCAAGCAGACAGATAGGCCTGTAATCGCCCAGGGAGATAGGATCCTTTACCTTTGGAATTAAGGTAATGAAGGATGAATTGCATCCACTAGAAAATGTTCCTGTTACTTCAAATCTTCTAACATATCGGATAACGTCCTCTTTCATCAATTCCCATTTGTTCTTAATGACTTTGAATATGAATCCATTTGGCCCAGGGGATTTCTCGGACCCACATCCCCATATGGCCTTTTTGATTTCATCAACCGAGATAGGGGACTCGAGATGAGATCTATGTTTTGGGGCTAGTTTCTTGAATAAGGGGCTAATTAGCTTTGGCCTCTCAGGCCATGGTTCATTGAATTTGGAGGAGAAGAAATTGAAAATCTCCATCTTGATGTCGGTAGGATTCAACATCCAACGGCCATTAATCTCGAGAACCTGTATCCGATTTCTCCTATTCTTATTCTTTAGAATTCCATGAAAGAAACTGGTGTTTTCATCACCATCGCATGTCCATTTGACTTTCGCATGTTGTCTCATATCAAGTTTGACAACATATTCTAGTTCACCTATTTTAAAAAGTGACTCTCGCCTGTCAATGATTTCAGAATCAGAAAGAATGCGAGATTCGGCCTCCAATTTAAAGCGATCCACCTTTTCTCTGAGTTATTTTAGATCGCCGTGTTCTAATTTGGAAACATCAGATCTCCAATTTTTTAGAATGCCCTTTAAATATTTGAGTTTAGCAAGAAAGTATTGATCTAGTGCGCCGAAACCAGCAAAATTCTTCCAGGCGTTATCAAATACCGAATCAAATTCCTTGTGAAGCATCCAAGAATTGAAAAAACAAAACGGGGGAGGGCCAAAATTTAGAGAAGATGGTTTAAGGAGTACCGAGGAATGATTGGAATGTTTACGTGGAAGGACTGTCACCGCCTTGAGTGGTTGTTGGTTGATAAACTTTTGGCAGACCAAAAAGCTATCCAGTTTGCTTTGCTTGAAACCATCGTCACGAAGATAAGTGAACTTTTTCCCACCTTGATTGAACTCATAAAGATCGGTGACAACAATGAACTTGTTAAAATCAGAAGCTGTGTACTTGCAGAAGCTGGAGTTAAATCTTTCTTTTGGATGACAAACAGCATTGAAATCTCCTAAGAAGATCCAAGTTCCAGGAGTTTGGCTTTTGAGTAAGGTATGATCTTCCCAGAGTGAGCGTTTCTCGGTGACAGATTGAGGGGCGTAAACATTCACAATGGTGGTTGTACCCGAAAAGCTATTCCAAGATCCTGTGGTGGCGATGTAGTTCCTAGTCAGAAAAGATTCTGACTTGCGAAAGATAGTTGAATCCCAGATACTTAGGATACCCCCGGAACCCCCTGTTGGATTGATAGCCTCATGATCGAAATCCATTGAACCCCAATAACCTGGAAGATCAATTGTTTTTTAGTCTGAGACCCTTGTTTCTTGAATGCCTATGAAATCAACCTTGTATTTGTGTCTTAGGTCTCGAATCCACTCAATTTTGCAGGATTCCCCAATTCCCCTGATATTTAAGGTTATCAAATTCATCATGAACTTGACTTGGCACCAGCACCTTGAAGAAGATCAACCAATTATGAATCTTCTTTTTGTAATTTGAAAACCCACTTCATTCCCCACTTTGACCATGTGATCAATCTCATTTGGTACTGATGATTCATCATTCGAGTTGTTGTTGTGATTATCTAAAGGTTCCAGGGATTTATTCAAGTCTATTGATGGAGAATTTTTTTGGGATTTTGGTAGGGATGACACATTACCTTCTGGCCTGCTCGGAGAAGAATGCTTGAATATTCTCCGTGGAGTGATTGAGGATGAAAATGAAAGTGAACGATCGACTTTCCTTCTTTTAACCAGCAAGTCACCAATTTCAAAGTCTGGTACAGCTTCGGAGTAGGGCGAATTGTCTTTTTTCGGGGTGGAGCAAGGGTAGGCCCAAAATTTGCTTATCGGTGGGGGCCCATGATTAGGAGAAGCAACGAGTGCCATATCCGTAGGAGCGTCACACACCATGATTGGCGCATGTGAATTGGGGTTCCTATCCTCTACAATTTTTTCATCAGGATTATCCTGCATCATCCAAGTTTACCGTAGATGTCATCACCCAAAATAGTCTCTCCATCGACAGACCCTATTACACGTGTTGGTTCGATTTCAGATTGCATTATTTCTCCTTCTTCTAAATCCTCCACTTGATTATTTATCCATGTGTCTAACACTCCCTCCTCATTAGATCCCTCATCCGATCCTAATTATGATGAATCGTAGTCGTCTTGTTCATCATTCTAATCTTCATCATCGTGTTGGTCTTGAGGTGCGGGTGTGTGATAAAAGGGATGCCAATTGAAATCATATTCAATGACACCCACCTTATATAATTTGTTGTTAAAGGAGCAAGTTATGACTTCGTTGATTCTAGTGAGACAACAGGTGAGTATGCATGTTGTACCATAGGAAAGATCCATGTTATCCCAGTTATCCCCATCTACTTGCAGGGTTGTCCCAAACCGATTTGTTATCGCTTTGTAATTCTCTTCTGCACGTAGTGATATTGGAACTCCGGTTATTTTGACCCACGCGATTCTCTCTGAGGATGGTTCGTCGAATATCCCCATTCGAACCCATTTGAACCATCTGTTCCAGTTGTTATCCTTACTGAGAAAGTTCTTAGCATCCATTGGTATATCAAATCTAAGCACCACACGCATACCACCCGCATAGAAGGTATTCATTAAGCAATTAAGATCAGATTTGAGAAGTTTTGGAAGTTCCATGAGATGCATGAGACTTAGTACTTCACCAACCACAGTTGAATGATTCCAACCCACCATCGTCGGAACTTGTTTTAGTTCAATGACCTTCTCAGCAGTGATATTGTCACTAACATCAGATTGCCTTTTACCCACCATCTCAGCATATGACTTGTTGCTCGTTTCTCATACTTTGATATGTTCACCTGTAGGATACAATGTCCGCATCTGAGCCCATGCATCTTCCTCTCAAGTGCCAATATGTCTGAGACGTCGATAAACTTGATGAAACCAAAGTACAGGCCACCCCTGTCTTTCCTTCCGATGAGATAGATATCAACGATTTTGCCAAACGACCTGAAGATGTCGTTGATGGTGACTCTGCTGATACCTACCAGAATCTTTGAAATGTAGAAAGAGGATATCACCTTGGTGTGGCTGTTGCCAGATTTCTTTCGCTGGACATCTGTCCATCCAGCCTCATTCGCCATGTGACCGTCGGACTTCTTGAATCAATATTCCGTCACATGCTCAGATCCCACAACTTGGAGCTTGGGAATGCTTGCTATTCGAAGAAAAAAAATACTAAATTACTATTTATGTTTACGAGAACATAATCGAATATAATTACTTATTTATCATTATGTTTATATCATTGGTTGTTATTTTATTTAATGCGTACAAACATATCCTAAACATGTTAGGTACTACAGATTGAATTCAAATGTCTTGCAAGTATTTTGTTTTTTACTATACTTGAAAGCATTATGCAGTGGCTCGAAAGTCATATGGAGTTCATTTCCAACCCGTTCTACATTGGAGGCGACTCGTACTCTGGAAACCCAGTCCCCATAATCACACAAATAATATCAAATGGTACGTGTTATTGGTATGTTAACAAGTGTTCGTGAAATAGTTGCATCATAAATCTTGTGCAACTGAATTTACCATAAAGTATGTGGCAATGTGTAGGAAACGAAGTTGGCATTAAGCCTTACATTAATATAAAGGTATCAAGTTTAGTCCTATGAAAAAATGCAATCTTTGATTACAAAACGGTTAAGTGAACCTTGTGTAGCAGGGATACCTACTCGGGAACCCTTTGACATTCCCAGAAGAAGACAATTATAAAATACGATTTGCAAATGGTATGGGGCTTATTTCCGATGAACTCTACAAGGTTTGTTCTACACAAATGGTAATCATCTCCTAAGTTTTGTTACTTGTTTTATTATCTAATGCTCTTAATTTTCAATATCTTTATAGTCACTGTTCCACAGTTGTCAAGGCGAGTATCGATTGGACTACATAAACCCAGATAATGTAGAATGTCTGCAAAATCTTGAGTTATACGAGAAAGTGTGTTACTTATTTCACATCCCCTTTCTTTAATCATAATTTGCTCATATTTACACCATAATGAAAACCAAAATATATAACTTTTGCAGTGTATAGACGGGATCCAACAGCCCCAAGTATTAGAACCATATTGTGGTGATACTGAATCGCCAATCAAACTACCTAGCCAAATGTTGTCTAAAGAGCGACGTCTACTTTCTGCGTTTTATTGTCGGGTAAGTTTGTATTATAAATCTTGCAACACGACGCTTAAGGGGATTTACTGTTTTTTGAGTATTGTTGTAGTTTGATGAAACACGTCTAGCTTATTACTGGGCAAATGATGTCAGCGTTAGAGAAGCATTGCGAATCAGAAAGGTATTCGTGCAAATTTCTAGAAAATAAAATTTTAAGTTGTGTTTGTTTGCTTAATAAATACTTGATTTGATCCGGTTAGCTATATATAAATATATTTTGACTTAATTATCAAACAGTCGTTGAATAAAGAAAACCGAGATGGGGGAGAACTTCCTTTAAATCCTGTTTTTTAACAATTTTCTCATCTTTTTACTAATGTTTATCCAAAGTACATTCATTTTTATAAATCAAAGTTTAAACAAATATTCATCCAAACAACAACTTTTTTTAACGACTCATATTGTAATCCTAAACTACACCAATATCTCGGATGAGACTTGAATGACTAATACTCTAATCCTATCTACAACAATCTAATCCTATAACTATTTTGACAGTGCATCAACATTAGTGAGTTGAAAAACATTATTTTTCTTTTTAGGATTAGAAAATTGATAGAATAATATTATCATATGTAACTTTATAGTAAAATTAATAATTTAAAATTATGGTGTTACTAAACAAATACTACGAAAAATGAAGGAAAGCATTGGAACCTGGATAAGATGCAATTATGATTTAAATTTCACGACGATAGTAGATGATATCAGACCTTATCATCTCAACCTCAGCAACAAGGATTATCGATCACTTGTATACAGGTAGTCTTTATTTTATAACACAAATTGACGTTTGATCTCCCAATTAATTACATTTCAATAATTTGGCATAGTGGTGACCACGATATGGTTATTCCTCACCAATCGACTCAAGCATGGATAAAAGACCTTGGCTACACTGCTATTGATCAATGGCGATCATGGAAGGTTCATGGTCAAATCGCAGGGTAACTTACAATTGTTGTTATTTGCCATTGCACAACTTATCCTTATGTGATATCAAGGCTATACTTTCCATGCGTGTATAAATTAGTTTATAAGTTAACTTATTTTTTGAGCTTATTGTAGCATAATGTTCGATAAGACCATAAAAGCAACTTATCTTAGTTTGAAAACTAGCTTTTTGAATAAGTTATTGAGATAACTTATTGATAAGTTGTTGATAAGCTAAAAGATAACTTTTCAACTAGTACTCAAACCGAGTCTAGATGTATCGAAGTTAAGTGGATTATCGTATTTGGGCAGGTACACAGAGACTTATTCCAATAGAATGACATATGCCACTGTAAAGGCAAGTAATTGGAGTGTTACATAATTGTCTCGGGTTTTAATAAGTGTTGATGTTAACTGAACATAATATTTTGTCATTGCAGGGTGGGGGGCACACAGCCCCCGAGTACAAGCCCGAAGAGTGTTTTGTGATGTTCAAGAGGTGGATACATGGTCAACCATTGTAATCCATCAATGCACATTAATAAACATACGATTTGGAAGATATATGGTCTACAAATCTTGTATTGTCTATTCATTCAACAAATACAAAAAATTAAAAAAAAAGGCAATTATAGTGTATAAATGAGATGTCTATCACGATACCATGCATAATTTGAAAGAGGCTAACTCAATTTATGGGTGTTTGGATGTGTGTTTTCAAAAACTTTGTGTGTTCTCAAACTGGAATATTAATTAAGATGATTAGTTGTAATAAAAAAATAGTGTAAATAATGATTCGATATTCTTCCACAGTGTAAAGTGTGTAAAGTGTAATAAATAAATAAAGATAATGTGAATGATAATGGGATATATGATATATATTTATTTACTAATGATTAGACATAGAACCTATTGAAAAACTATAGATGAGAGAGGCTAAAAAAGCCTATAAAAACCTTTTAAAACCTTTGATTCAATGTCCTGAGATAATGTGAATGATAATGGGATATATATATATATACACACTAATAATTAGACATAGAACCTATTGAAAAACTATAGATGAGAGAGGCTGAAAAAACCTATTAAAACCTTTGATTCAATGTCCCGATTATAGTTCGTGTGATCATGTTACTCAATGTTTTAAAAATCGATTTTTTAGTTGAACCGGTATGGTGACCGGTTTCCGGTTCGATCGCCGAGTGAACCGATTTCTATATTTTTCATGTTTTTTTTTCTATTTTGCTACACATACATACATATAGAAATTATGAATTTGATGTTTACAAGTTCAAACATTAAAAATACACATAAAAATAAGTTGTAGATGAATCAATATACATTAAAATAACAAATAACCATAAGTTTTAGTATTTTACATCAATCCATATACGTTAAAAAGAAAATAAAGTTTAATACTGAAACGAAATATAGTTTTTTATGAATACAAACACATCAAAATAACTTATAACAAACACGTCGACGATCTAAAACCCTAACTTGTCGGATCTTAAAACCCTAACTGGTCGTCGGATTGAGAGAGACGGAGGCGACATTTGTGGCTCAAGTTTCTAGACTAAGCTATCATCGATTTGTGAAGACATCGACATTTACAGATCTAGAACGTCGTCGATCATGAGGGTTTCGTCGCCTTTCATCTTCTCGTTTGACTTGATTGTTCCTCAGCAAAACCTAGCTCAAAGCAAACCCTCATTTGCAGATCTGTTTCCATCGCTGGAGAAGAAACAAAGAGTACGCTGGTGAAGGTTAAGATCAGAGGTGTTCCAACGAGAGAGAGAGAGAGAGAGAGAGAGAGAGAGAGAGAGAGAGAGTAGATGGTGATCGGTGGTGGTGGTGTTGTTTACAGGAGGGAGGATTGGAAATAGATTTTTTCTTCTTTTCTGTTTAATTTAAATAAAAAATATAACAAAATAAAAAATAGAAAATAAAATTAAAGAAGGGTAAATCTATCATTTTAAATAAATTCAATGTAAATTGGACCAAACTCACAACAAAATCAAACTTTTGGACCATTGGTGCTAGTCCAAACCTTTTTGGACCAAAGTGACAATTTTTGACAAATCACATGGACTATTTGTGCAGTTTAGTCTATTTATTTATTACGTTTTAGTTACAAAATCGGGTATAAACCGATACCCATATCAAACGGATGACCCGAGACCGCATAACATTCTTAAGAACCCTCTCCCGAGCGGTATTGATTGATTTTGCTTCCAGTTTTCTGATCAACGAATCCAAGCACATCAAACTGAAGCGAAAAAACTAAACGGTGGTAGGAGTAGAAGAGAAGGACATCATGAACTTGAATGCGAACTCGGTTGATTCACTGGTGGCTGAAATTCAAGGGTTTTCGGGAAGTTCTCAAGACGTAAATCACTTGAACAATCTTCTGAAGCAATCTGAGGACGTTATACGCTCTCAGGCTGCAACTTTTGCTTCATGTCTCACTCAACTTGACCCTTCCATTCATTCCCTTGGTTACCTCTACATTCTGTAAGTCCTAGTTTTTGTATTTCTCATTTGTTGCCTCATTCTTCGCGAAGAATAGAATAATTTTCTCTAGATTTAGGGTTTTGATCGTGTAGCGTTTGAACATCACTTACTTATCTACTTGCTACCAAGTAATAGTAATTGTTGATGTTACTCTTTTCTTTCTGTGATTGTTGTTTATTTTTGCCTTGTTGTTATGCATATACTGATTTTTGAACCGATTTGTCTGCTTGATGTTATGACAGGGAAGCATGTACAGCAGGTCCAATTCCAGAAGCACAAGCAAACGAACTTGTTCTTTCTGTTGTCAGATTCATTGATGTATGCAGTGTAGCACAGATCCGCTTGGTGCCTGACAAATGTATGTCTCTAACTCCATTATAGTAACAGTTTCTGCCTATATCATATTAACAAATTAACCACATTCGTGCAGTTATATCCATTTGTAAAAGATTGCATGAACAAGTTATGATTCTTGGTGCCCCTATGAGAGCAGTGGCTCCTCTCTTAACTGCTATCCGCAAGATTCAACCATCCTCAGAACACTTAACTCCTTTACACCCAGACTTTCTTCAAGTCTGTTTATTATCAAAGTGTTATAAAACTGGTTATAGCATCTTGGAGGATGATGTATACGAAGTTGATCAACCAAGGGACTTTTTCCTATACTGCTATTACGGGTGAGTTTTCTTTCTTATAATGTAATTATTCATGGTGACAATTATGCTAATTTTCTTGTTCTATTTGATAATCTGCTAGGGGGATGATTTGCATAGGACAAAAACGTTTTGCCAAAGCATTGGAACTCTTCCACAATGTATGTCATTCCAATATTTATTTATCTTTTCAGTTAACTTTTTTTTTTTTTTTTTTTTTTTTTTTACATTTTGTTCTAATATACATCCAGGTGGTAACTGCTCCTATGTCTTCCATGAACGCAATAGCTGTTGAAGCATACAAGAAATACATATTGGTTTCACTCATTCACCTTCGCCAGGTTTGCGTTTCTCATACTTTTCAAATGAACTCCAAATTTATATTTAGTTTTAAATAGTAATATTTAAGAGCATTGAATGCAGTTTTCTGCCACATTCCCCAAGTATACTTCTTCAGTTGCTCAAAGGAATTTAAAGAACTTCTCTCAGGTAATTTCTAGTCTCTCTATATGAAAACATTTTTTTTTCTTAACATTGTTTTTTTTTCCAAGTAGCCCTACATTGAGTTGGCAAATAGTTACAGCACTGGAAATATTTCAGAACTTGAAGCATTTGTAGTAGCGAATCAGGAGAAGTTTGAGAATGTGAGTTTTGTAGTCTACTTATGCATGTGAAGTTGGAAACATGGAACAGATATAACAACAATCTACTTTCTTTTGCAGGGAAACAATCTTGGATTGGTAAAGCAGGTTGTGTCATCTATGTACAAAAGGAATATTCAGAGGTTGACTCAGACATATTTGACTTTATCCCTTCAAGACATAGCCAACACTGCACAGATAAGTACTGCTAAGGAGGCTGAAATGCATGTACTTGAAATGGTAAGTAGAATATAAGCATCTGTTTTTTTTTTATTTTTAAATAAAAAAAAAACTTGTGTTTTGATTTTGTATGTTATTAAAAGATTGAGGATGGTGAGATCTATGCAACTATCAACCAGAAGGATGGCATGGTTAGATTCCTTGAGGATCCTGAGGAATACAAAACATGTGAGATGATTGAGCATATTGATTCATCGATCTCAAGGTATGATTTTGAAACTGAGAAGATTTATCATATTGTACTATAATGTGTAGAAGAAGTTAAGAAATCTGTTATAGTAATAATGTATGGATGTTTGTTATTGAACTCCAGAATCATGAAACTGTCAAAGAAGCTGACAACTATGGATGAGTCTATGGCATGTGATCCCCTTTATCTGTCCAAGGTATGGCTACCTAGCACTAGAAAGAAAAAACCTGTGGTGTCACTTATTGAGGGTTTTTTTTTTTAATTGGAAGTTGAATTTTGCTGATTTTAATTTGTTCAGGTTGGGAGAGAGCGACAACGATTTGACTTTGATGATTTTGATGGTGTACCTCAGAAGTTCAATTTATGAGAGAGTTTAGTTGCCATGATTTTGGATTATATTACTTTTTGTTTTTCACTGAGAGACAACATATGCGGTCAATACTTGTGGAATCTTATTACTGTTGGCCTTTTAATCAAGTCTCTTATTTTTTTTCTTTGTGGGAATTTTGTCAATGAATTGCTATTGTTTTGCAGGTCGTTACATTTTCATGTTTGTAGTCAAAACCCTATGAGGTGTTTTTTTTTTTTTCACTACACATGACATTTGTCAAGTTCAAATGTTGTTACGTACTCTAATCTTGTATTTTCTGTTGTATGGGGTTGCTTTACACCGATCATTTGACACTGAAGGATCAATCCATTCGAAGTAGTTATAATCTTTGGTAGCATCCTTGACATGATAAAGGAACTAGGTAAAAATAAATCCTTAAAAATCAAATGTACAAAGTTGCAGGGAATTAGGGAACCCAATAAACCTTCTGGTCCTTGGGTTGTTAATTTTCCAAGAAGTCCACAACATTTACCTTGAACTCCGTATTGGGAGATGAAATTTCACTTAATCATTTCCAATTTTGCAGCTTGAAGTAGAATCATGTTAATTTGAGGTTAAGACTGAAAGGAGTGGGCTCAATTACCTTGTTGACATGGCAGAGCTGGCTTAGCAAATGCCAGATTTGAGGATAAAGACCGAAGTGGGCTCGTCTGGCTCGGCAAACATTGTGTTGAGTTTTTGTGGCACCCGTCACCTCTTTTGCCATTTTATCGGATCAAACAACTCTCTGTTCAAGATTTATACCATAAAAATATCTTTTTCAAACTCTCCAAACAACCAAAAGACGAACTAAAAATAACCCAAACTCTCCAAACGACCTATTTTTTCACTTCATGAAATCCATTATGGTAGTATGATATTGTATTATGGTAAATACCCAATGCAAACCGAAGTCACCCTCATGAAATTCGAACACCTTGAATATGTTCTAGAAACCCAACCCCAATTCCTACCCGAAATGCAAGTCGAGTCTAAAAGAAAAAGAAAGGCCCCCAATAGAGATTTGGATCTAAAAGAAGAAGAGGTGTTGGCCATGCATGAGTCGATCTATCGAAGGACCAGAAGGCCAACAATGAATGGGCAAATATAAATCAACTTCAGATGCAATTTGTTTTGGTGAGCTACAAGAAATAAGATCGGATAAAAATTTGAACAAATACTTTGGAGTTCGCAAAAAGAAAATGAACGTAAGAAGGAAAAAGCTCGTGACATGAAACTTTCAATGCAAGACGTGATCAACTTCATTGGAGACGATCGAATTGGCTCTGGTGGTAAAAGTCGAAATCAAGAAAATATATGACATATAGTTTTTTATTATGTTTCTTAGCTTTTAATTTAATGTTATATAACTTTATTTTAAATTAGTAATTTTTTTGTTGTTATCTAAATTAATATATATATATATATATATATATATATATATATATATATATATATATATATATATATATCTTTACTACTTATAAAAGAAATCTAACTATTTCTATAAATAGATTGAATATAATAATATTATTTTTTTAAGACGTCCAAACTATTAAGCTTGAAGTACAACCCATTTATAATATAATAATATTAAAACTTTAACCCTATCATTTATCCCCTAAAAATCTGGTATCAAATTAATAGAATAATTCATTTGCAAATTGAACCCGTCAACACTTCAGCCATTTGAAGCGGTTAATATCAACAATTTATAGAGGATCTCTTCTCTCACATTGGTAACAAGTCATCTCATAATATCTATCTTCGTAATCCCTTCAAAGTAAGAAATATACGCACACTCTCTCGAAGAACCCTAACCAGTAACCAAGACAGTATAACCACCACCACCACAGCCGCTCTGCTTCCTTCCGCCTTCAACTAACCACTATCACGACTACTGCCCTTCCTCTCACCCACGACATGAACTTTCTTTTGGAACATAACATTTTTTTTTTAAAAAAAATATCGTTGAAAGAAGCTATTTGTCCCCGCCGCTGTGCGCGGGTAACGGCTAGTATATATATATATATATATATATATATATATATATATATATATATATATATATATATATATATATATATATCATTCCACAAAAGGAAAAAAAAAATGTATAATGTAAAACTAATGTGGCATACAAAAATGATATCGTCTCTTTAATCTAAGGGTTACAACAACTAGATGAAGTGTACATCTCTTCATTTTCAAAAGTAAATTGCTTAAGTGTCAAATAGGTTGTCACATAATTTGTCAAAAATCAAAATGATATGTAACAAAAAAAAGGGTTATCTTACGCTGGAGGGATGAGAAGTTCTTGTTGAGCTCTACATTATTTTGCCATCAAGAATACCATGCACCAAGAATGATATACCACTTTGCCATGAGAGAGAGGGAGAGAGTGCTCTTGCCATGCAATTCCAACATTGTTCCAAGAGTTGTGTTCGCCATGACAAAGGTATGGCACATAGGCTCCACCTCACATTTATCACAGCTTACTCCCTCCAGTCTTAAAAGAAACACATCTATGTGTATGTGTATGGGATGGACCTTCATATACATATGTCCTATCATATTGGGTTTTTTTAGCACAAAAAAACGATGAAACCTATGATTATATCTATACATCAAAATAAGTGAAATATAATTTGTTTTACGTACAGTTTTTGGAACAAATTGCATGTTTTGAAGCAAGTTTTTTTTTTCAAGTAATGATAATATAGACAACAAGGAGTCCATACATACATAGAAGAAATGAATCACTATGTGCCTGAAAAAGAGTACAAGAATACAACACAATCACCACTGGAATTAGACAGGCAAATGAAAACAAGAAAACACTCTGACGTCACAGCCTCAATAACCACTTATAAAAACAAAACTATGCAAAACTCCCGCCAAAAAACTTAAAACGTGTCCTATTTAACTTTGGTGTTTCTATCTTTACACAGCGCATGCCATTCCTGCAACACCGCAGTTTGAAGAGCACGATGCTCCACCTCCTCCGGTGTCAACTCAAACAAAGTTGTGGGACCCTTGTGTTTCTTCTTTCCATCCTCCCCATTTTCCTTCTTGTCCACCACGTCATCATCATCACTGTCCACGTCATCTTTTACTTCTTCTTCTTCTTCAATTTTTGGGGCTTTAGGAGGCGGCTGAGCCGCCTTTAAAATAGCTATCCGTTCCATGGATACACGTAGCCTCTCAGCAGCAGCCACCTTGACTTCATCTTCCGGCATGTACTCGACACCCCCATCAGTAAGATCATCACACCATGACTGTAGATCCGAACCAACTTCTTTTATAATGGCTGCATCTGATGCCCTAACCACAAACTTACATATCATAGCTGTTGTTTCATCACCCAAGTCTACGTTTCTACTCACTTCACTTGCACCAAATATCATCATCCCCACAAAACCCCCATGCCATGTCTTTGCAGCAAAACATAGCTACAAAAAATAATAATACCCAAAACATAATCCGATTAACGATGAACATAATACGTAAAAAATAAGATAAAAAAATGAACTTGCCTGGAACCCAGCTACAGTTCGGATGATGTGAGAGCAAACTCTATGAAAAGGCTTGGAAGATAAAGATCTGAGACCACTCAAGAAAGGGGAAGAACCGTATTGCTGAGCAGCTGTGGCCTTAAACCCGCTACCTTCATATGTATAAGTACCTGTGAACTCCACCATGGCTGGTAAACTAGGCCAGAGGCGAAAATACTCCACGGGTGAGATTTTATGAGGCAATAAAAGCTCGGTTAATGGAATCTTGTAAGGCTGGCATCTCATGATTACAGGCTCTCCTAATTCCGGCTTTAAGTTTCTTCTTTGTCTGATGATTTGTTGATCTTCTTCAGCGTAGTCACCTTCATGCCCTGCAATGTCATGTCCATGAGAAGGGTAGTACAACACTTGTACCCAAAGCGCACATCTTTCAAAATGAGACACGCCCAATGTCACGCTGCATAGTACGGGTTCCTGAGAGTTTAGATCGCGTAACTGTCGAACTGCTTGGGGAGACCCGTCCATGAAATATGAAGCGCCGGATAACCCGACCCGGATGTCCACCCGATTAAGTTCCATTTCGGTTAAATTCAGAACTTTTAAATGAAGCGTGATTCTTCCGTCACTTGGGTCTGATAAGTGGTATGCTTCCACGTAACAGGGATCACTACTACCGGTTAATGTGTGTGCATTTGGAGGAACTTTTAGTGAAGTAGCATCGGCTCCTTTTGTTAATAATAGAGTTAGTTCACTGGGATCGGGTCTCCATAGTTCTAGAATAGCTTTGTGAACTAATCCTTCCAGTTTTCGGTCTTGCGCTGCTGAGCCTTCGTAGAATTGAACTGTTAGTTTGTGGTGACTGAATGGGTAGTCTCCTCTTGCTTCACTAACACCAGCCCACCTGTAACAAAATAGGGTTTACGTCATACTTGATCAACAAATTATTTTGTATGTTCTCATTTAACCATTTAGTGTCTGTTATTTAGAATGACTAAAGAGACTAAATGAGAACATACAAAACAGTTTGTTGCTAAACTGAGACATATACCCTGATAAATACGGATTACTTTCTAAACTCAAAATTAGATGATGCTTACTTGTCATCAGAATGACTGGAAACGTATTTGATTCTCTGTAATATCATACGGGCCTGATGTTTGTTGACAGAATCAGTCAAGGGATCAGCCCTGAAGTCTTCCAGCTCTTTGGTGAGCAACTGGCCGGCCCTAGCATTACGTGATCCCAATCTTTGAGCACATAAAAGAACCGCTTGAACATCTTGGAGCTTATTTGTTTCAGTCGCAGATGAGTCAGCATTGAACAGGATCTTGTGGATTTTTGATATGATAATGTTTAATGCATCCTCTGGGTCATCAGCTAAAAGAGGATCCAAACCTTCTAAATCAATGTGTTCTGAAATTGCCCAAATAAGCCGGGCAGCAATTCTAGGAGTATTCACCTGCCCAGATACACATCCACATAAGAAAGGAAACAAAAAAAAATTCAATAATTTCTAAACATTCAGTCACGAACCTCAAGCAGATCATTGACGAGTTGTCGTTGCAAATTTTGTAAACGGGTTTCGTTCAAAATCTGATCTTGAGATGCCCCATCTTTGACACGTTTGACCCCACCCCTGGTATCAAATATATGGCAAAGTCTGACCAGTAGCTTTAAGTAACAATCAACAGCATAAGTTCGACCCTCACAGTCCCATTTCACACAAGGGCGACAGACCTCCACTACTTCTAAAGCTGGTTCAGTCCAATTTAATGCACCATAACCGGTTCCATAAGCCAATGCTCCAATCACTCTACTTTCCATGCCTGAATTTTTTTGTTCGGGTAATGGGAGTGACAGCTGGAAGCAGCTTTCTACTAAAGTGGCCACCAGTTCTTCTCTGAATAAATTTTTGCTTGTCACAGTGTTGAGGTCATCTTTGATTCTGGTGTCTTCAAAAAGTGATGCGATGTCGGTTCCTGAGAGAGGTTTTTGGCCTCTTCGAACACTTTCTTTTGCAAAAAGATCAACACAGAGAGCTGTACGACAGATGCATGCTAAAGCATGCATTCGGTCTGATTCTGCCCTCAAGTTTCGCACCATCAGAAGCAGCCTTTTGAATAATGATACCTGAAAAAAATAAACACATGGAAAATATCTATCATGCCAAAAGTTATTTTATACAAGTGTTACCCACTCATGAGAATATCTATCATGGAAAACAACTTGATCCAAGTTGAAGTGAATAATTTCTTTACTGTTAAACATAATAAACAGCCACCTCTGACCAAAAGAAAAGAGAAAAGGAATAACCTTGATTTTTCACCAAAGATTAAGGAAAAACCACAATGAACAATGAGATAAAATGGGGTAAGGGGGAGGTATATGCATACAAGTGTACCCCACCCAGTGATAGAGAGACTGCTTCCTGAGATGATCTCTTTCAGGTCCACAATAATGCAAATAAAGGGGTGGCATGGGGGTAAGGATATACAGCAATAAGCTTAAAGTAATAAAGTGTAAAGCAGGTATACTAGCAATTCAGGTAGATTCAATAAAACATAAAGCAGGTACAGGCATTCAGGCAATAAAACAATGAAGCTTAAAGGAAAGGGGACAAAAGGGCAAAAGTAAGCAGGTAAATGTCGTATGAAAGTCGCAAACATAGAAGGAAAACTAGGACATATTCTACTCCACGCCCTCATATCTCATATCTCACATCTGAGGGGGGAAACATGAAGAAGCCACAAATAAAGAGGGTGCATGAGTAAGAAGGTAAATATACAGAAAGCACAAAAACGAAAAGGGATAATAGAGCCTA